CTGGTGGATGCGAGGGAAAAGCTCGAAAAACTTTCCGTTAATTTTGTGAATGAATAAACTCTTGAAGGTCTTTTTCAGCTAATTTTCTAAAGAACGAGCTGCATCCAAAAAATTACAAAGCCGTCATGAAGCAAATCAGCCGGACAAAAGGTTTTTTTCGTAGGTGGCGTTACATTTTTTGTCAAAGGTGAATTGCTTATCGCTCTTTTGCGCGCGGTGAGTGCGTTTTTGCTGCACGATAACGCCTTATCAGGAAAATCTATTTTTCTTTTTGTGGGGTGTGGCGGGCCGTAATACAGGTTTTACCGGCCAGACTTGCTTTGTTTTGCTTTTTCCTTTTTTTTGCGAAGATCTTTCAATTGTAAGGTATATTTAATTGTAGAAAAAAAATAGTACTATTAATCCCACAAATTTGCACTTTTGCTACTGAAAATTTGGCGCCATGCACTCGTTTTAAGTCGATCCAATCAAGTTAAACGGTCCGTCACATTTTCCATCGCGTAATTGATTGATTTTCCGTGGGCTGTGTTTTGCTGAACCGGCAGCGCCTTATCGGAGTTTCGGATCGACTGATCAGCTGATTTCCCAATAACAAAACGCTTCTGCACTTTTCTATTCTTTCCTTAACTTTGCTATTCCCAAAAAGCCAGTCTTGCAGATGATGTCGGAGAATGACGCCTTATTCATGACTTGCCCTACTTGCAAAAGTGGATACGGAATTCAGAAAGAATCGTGGCCCTTCTACCACGAGCAAAAACAGCTGGGATGCCCGAAATGTCTAGGAACAAAGCAGAGTAGATGGCCGAACCTGCTGGAGAGGGGCAAAAAGTATACCGAAAAACCCGGGCAGATCGGATGGTATGTAAATCCCGTAAAAATCGAGGCTCTGGGATGTAGTTTTTGTCAAAATTCTATAAAATTCAACTATGTATTCGCTTGTGGTCATCGGGCCTGTCAGCACTGCCAGGCGAATGCGGGGCGGCGAAAATGCAAAGAATGCGGGCCGCAAGGGGCTGCTTTGGCTAACAGCGAGGTCCTAGCCTTCTATCGGCGCTACTTGCAAGTGGCGCTGGAACTAGCTGATGAATTTCCGTTGCAGCAGCAGACTGAAAATACTCAACTTCTCCGAGAACAACTCGAATTGGTTGAACGTCTGAATCGGGAAAATGTAGCTGGATCAGAAAACTACCCGACCAACGTCGAAGAGGCTGAGCAGCAGCACAAGTGCGAGAAGTGTGGGCTGGAATGGGGTATCGAAATGTTCTTCCGATGTAGCGATTGCCAATTGACAATTTGTGGAGCCTGTGGATTGAAATGGCACAGGACTCATGAGATTAAAGAACTCCTACAAGAGACATTGATGCAAATCGGCGGCAAGACGGCAACCGAGTTGAAGGGACTCTACGAAGGATACGCTGGAAATTTATCTGGATTGCATCTCTGTATGAAAGAAGCTTTCGTAAAACTTATGGCTGCTGAAGAAAAGGCGCTTAAGCTGATCGCAAAGCAAGAAACTTACGAAAACGGAAAGACAGTTGCTGCACAAATCAAGACGACATCTCAGGTTATTGAGAAGGAATGCGAAACATACATTCCAGTGACCCGAATCTTCAATGATAAGCTGGCGGACGCACGGGAAATGCTTGAAAAATTATCTTTTGAGGTTACCCGTGAATAAAAGCTTTCCTTGCGAGTAATAAATCACATCTAAATACCGTTATATTCTCAACAAACGATTTTACAGTTTTGTTTTTCAGGAAACGTATTGATAACGTGTTGGCCAGCCATAAAAGGCACTCTATTCCGATCGGCGCGCCCTATATTGATTCTATAGCAGCTCGCCCTGAAAGAGCTTGCTCGCAACGAAAAAAACAGCTTATCCATGTCGCTTTTTTTGAACCCGGGCAGGGAAAATTTCCAAGCATATTTGGCCTCGTTGAGTTTAATTACGTTGCGAAAATGCTGTGCTGGTCTCGGTGTTTATTTGCCTGACCTAGTTTTTACTGGCACCTAAATTTATTCCTTCCTTCCTTTTATTTTTTATTTTCATTAAAGATGGCGAATCGGATAATCTTTTCAGATGACGGTCGCGGCAGATGCGTTATTTATGAATTGCTCAAAGTGCGGGAGGGAGTATGGAAGTCGTGAGGAAACGTGGCCATTCTACCATTCCGATCAGCGTCTCGGCTGCCCGAACTGCCTGGGCAAAAGGGACGATACGTGGCCAAACTTCCTGACAAGGGCCAAAAGAGGAGCTGAAAAGCCAGGAAGGCAAGGCTGGACAGTTGATCCAATACAATTATCCGCACTTGACTGCAGCTTTTGTCAAAATTCAAGAAACTTGGAATACGTCTTCACGTGTGGCCATCGCGCTTGCCGAGACTGCAGACCAACTGCGAAAAATCTAAACTGTAAAAAATGCAAAATCGCGGGCGCCGCGTTGACCAATAGTGAAGTCTTACGATTTTACCTGCGATATTTTGAAGTCGCCCTGGAGCTTGCGGACGAGTTTCAGAACATACAACAAGCTGATAATCGCAGCTTTCTGCGCCAACAGCTGGGGTTGACCGAACGTTTGAATCGAGAAAACGTGGAAGGAAGCGCTTTGCCAAACGATGAGCCAAAGAGAATATGTGAGAAATGCTCGCTAGAAGCCGAAATTGAGATGTTTTTCCGCTGCAATGACTGTCAGCTTACCATTTGCGGAGCCTGTGGCATGAAATGGCATAAAGCTCACGATGCCCCAGCGCTTCTGACGAGCGAATTGGAGAAAATGGGAGAAGAGATGGCTTCCGAAATGAAGGGATTGTACGAGGGGTATGCCGGCAATTTTTCCGGACTACAGATATGCACGCAATCAGCATTTAAGGCACTTATGGCTGCGGAAGAAAAAGCTTTGACTTTGGTTGCCAAGCAGGAAACTTACGCAAAAGGCAAGGAGGTCGCTACTGAAATCACGAAAACTTCAAAGGAAATTGAAGTGGAATGTGAGAAACATATTCCGGTGATCCGAATCTTCAATGATAAGCTGATCGATGCCAAAGAAAAACTGGAAAAGCTCTCTGTTGAACTTGGTACTGAATAAAGTTTTTTTCGTTTACTGATAAAAATGCACAAAAAGCCTTTTAGGTTCAAGTTTTCTGTTTAAACCCAAAATTGATTGGAAAATAATTGGGAGCCGATTGATCGACCACTAGAAAGATCACACACAGAAAAAGAGGGCTTATCAGAGCCAGATCTGCTTGCTGCATTCCTTTTCTCTTTCGGCCCGGCATTTTCAAGGTCACCAATTTGAGCTAGTGTTTTTACCCGCGATTTAAATACTATCTTTATTAGTCACATGCCTTATTGTAAATCGCCATTAAATCTATGTCTTTGCATGTTTCTTAGTTCCTTTTCCCGTTGAATATTTTGACCATCCCAAGCTTTTATTAATTTTTAATTTTCCTCGAACCCCCACCCTCCTCTGTTCGCTACAAAATATAGAGAGTAATTTTAGATGGCCGCTCCTGTGAAAGTCACATTCATGCAGTGTTCGCAATGTGGGGTTGAGTACGGAAATGTCCGCGATACGATCCCGTGTTTTGCTGAAGACAAGTTAGGATGCGGCAAGTGCTTAGAATGGCATGGCAAGTCTTGGCCATACTTTATCGACGAGGTGAAAGAATCGGGTGTCTGCAAAACACTCGAGCTCGGCTGGACCGTTAGCGGAAACCAGTTGAAGCCGCTTGGGTGCAATATCTGCAAGACGGCGCCCGAGATACAACACGTGTTTCGATGTGGACATCGCGCATGTCCCGAATGCAAACCGTCGGAGGAGGATGGCCTGAAGTGCGGTGAATGTGGCACGGAAGGCCTGGCTGCGCCGGGAAGCGATATTCTGGGTTTCTACCAAAGTTATTACGAACTTGCCACTGAAATCGGACTCAAAAATCGCAAGGGAAGAAGCGGGGCCGCCTTCCAGCGACTATTGCGCCAGCTGGCACTTATGGAGCGTTTAAATGGCGTTGCTGAGGCCGATGTTTTCGACGAGGGCAATGATGAGCCCGAAGAGATCTCGCCCAAGAAGTACAACTGCGACAAATGCTCCAAGGAAAATGAGATTGAGGACTGTTTCCATTGCACAGAGTGCCAGCAAACAATCTGTGGGTCGTGCTGCGTGAAATTTCACAAGGCTCACGACACCCCCTCGAGAGTGAAAATTGAGTTGGAGCAGCTTGGCGAAGCTACGGCGATTGGCTTAAAAGGGCTTTATGAAGGTTATGCCGGAAATTTGTCCGGTTTACACCTATATACGAAAGAAGCCTTCACTTCGCTAATGGCGGCCGAAGAAATCGCAATGACGCTGATCGCAAAGCAAGAAACTTTTCAGAAAGGCAAAGAGGTTGCTGAAGAAATCAAAAAGACGGCTGAAGGGATCGAACATGAATGTGAGGGATACATCCCATTCATCCGGATCTTCAACGACAAGGTTATGGATGCAAGAGATAAGCTCGCGAAACTGTCCACTGATTTTGCTTCTGAATAAAATTTTCTCTTCACAGAACCCTGTCTAACGCAGCACAACATACTAGAGAAGTGTCGTAACAGCATTAACATAACAAGTACACTGTTTTCCGCTTTACCAACCGCCTGCACGCTCTTGCAAATCACATTTCACAACCCGCGGCGCCCCTGCAAAACAATTTGCAGATAATGTGACGGCACAAAATGGGCTTATCAGCTCAAAGATCCCGCTTGAGGGCCTGCATTTCACCATCGCTTTGCAAAATTTTTTGCTGACTATTTTTAGCACTATTTTGCGACCGATTTCAGTCAATCCAAAATTTCTTCGAGCAAAAATTCATCTTCGCCAGCTAATTTTCTTATAGACCTGATCTTAACCATCTGCATCATAGAATCCACTAAACTGTCACAAAGCTATCTTAGGAATTAGTTTTCTTTGCTAACTACTACTTTCATAAATATTGCCAAGTAATTTGGGACCCGTTTCCAGAGCAATGCCAAAAACTCAGTTGCCGTTTATGTTTACGAAATGCGGGACGTGCGGCAGGGCTTATGACAGCGATATCACCGCATTTTTGAGCTGTACAGGCACATTGGGATGTAGCATCTGTTTGGAGTCAAGCCCTGCAACTTCACTTAAATTCTTGAGCGATGAAATCCGCAATCAACCAGGAGTTATTCAAGGGTATTCCGGTTATGAGACGATCGCCAAGCAACTTATACCTCTGGGCTGCCACTTCTGCGAGACGGCCCCTGTATTTCAGTACGTGTTACGTTGTGGACATCGCATGTGCAAGAAGTGCACGGCTAAGAATGAAGTATTGGAATGTCTGTTTTGCAACACCCGAGGCCTTGCTGAACCAGGAAGCTATATCCTCGCCTTTTACTGCCATTATTTCCATACTGCAAGCCAGCTGGGGGAAGGGAATTGGAAAATTGTTGCTGTAAGTAAAAATTTGCCACGCATTTCGAGTCAGTTTGAAACGGTTAAAAGTCTTTATTTTGCCAATGCCGAAGGCGAAAGTCCAGCAGCTCGTCAACAAAGTGACCCGGAAAGCGCCGGACCGCAGGAGGACCCACCAACTCCTGCTAAACCGGAAAGCATCAAGGTAGCAGCTACAGAAGCGGCTACAACTGTCAGCGGATCCAGCAGTGCGGTTTGGAAGGGCGTTGCTTGGATTAAAAAGAGCTTTGGGCTTGATGGAACCGCGGCTCAAGTTGCGGAAACTGAAGAGCCGGTTCAAAGTCCGACAATCCCAGAAAAAGCTGAGGTTCCATCGGGAATTGCAACTGCCGAAATGGAGGTGGCGTGTGATGCCAAAAAATACTTCCCAGAGACTAGCGAGCTTGAACAAGAACAGAATCTGGATGCCGGAAAGTCGCTAAGTGAATCGGCTGATCCAGAAAATCCTGAAGCGCTTCGCGCCGTTCAACTAACTGTGGACGACACAAAAGATACTCAAGTCTTGGCTGAGGGTCAGCAGCCGGCCAAGTTTGCTCCAAATCCAAGGCCAAAGACCGGCAAAGGTATTCTTGAGGACTCCAAAGATTCAGGAGCTAAAAAGGACGATCTCAAAGCCAAGGCAGTTGAGCAAGAACCATCGAAGCTCGAGTTGTCTGCATCAGAAAAAGGTTCTCCGATTGCAGTTAAGGTGCCTTCTACCCCTCTATCACCGAACATTTCGCGAAATGAAAGGCGACAACGTCAAAAGCTTGCCGAAGATCTGGCTGATAAAAAACAGGTTTTTCCAGAAACTGAGAAAGATCCTACTCCAACCGCTACAAAGCCATCTTCACGCGTAAAAAATTTGCCACTAGAAACCGAGCCCGGCGCCACGAATTCGAGAAAGACTTCGGTTTATGCTACTGAAGTGAAAATTTCGCAAGCATACGAGGAAGCTGAGGTCAAAACAGAGTCGGCCGGAGAATCCTCGACCAGATGTAAGAGATTGTCAAGCATTTCCGAAGGAAAACCCGATGCGAAAATCCCTGCTCCCGCTGGACAGGAGAAAGAGGACGAGGTTGAGGAAAAAAGCCACAAACGTGCAAACCATGGCCCCTTCAGAGCCAAGCACAGTTCACGACGTTGAAGCAGATGATGCCGTCAAAAATGAATCCGACACTGACGCAGATTCTGACGCTTCCGATTTCGGGGATGCTTCTAGGTCTACGGCAAGCTCCGAGGTTTCAGAATCTCAGGAAGCCCCCGAAACCCCACCAAAAGCCTCAGAAAATCCCGTCTTGACGGTCCTTAATCAACCGCTCTTAGAGCAGGCACAAGATTCCGCAAACATGCTGATCACCAAGCAACAGATTACTGGTGAAATTGAAGAAGCGGATGAGACATCAATGGAAGCCTTGCCGCAAGATTCGGAATCCCGCCGAGAGGCTGAGACAACTAGCAATACGAAAACAAAAGAAGAAGCGAAAATTAAATGCGACAAATGCGATCAAGAAGATGAAGCGGAAATGTTCTTCCTTTGCAAGGATTGCGAAGTAATTGTCTGTGCACTTTGCGGTATGCTAGCCCACAAAATGCATGTTACCCGACAGCTCGCTATAGCAGACCTCGAAGGCCTGGGCGAAACCTGGGCTGACGATCTGAAACAGTTTTATGAAAGTCTGCGCAAAACCATCGCTGTGAAACAAGAGAACACGAAGAAGGCCATGAGATTGATCATGAACTCAAAGGAAGATGCGCTGGACTGTGTCGCCAGACAACACACTTCAGATAAATTAACGGAAGTTTTTGCCCGAATTGAAGAGACCTCAATACTATTTGAAACTTGTTGCAACGATCATCTGGTGGTTGAGGAAAACTTCCGCGCTCAGCTGTTAACGATAAATGCCCAACTTGCTGAAATTTTCCGTGAATTTCCGGCTGAATAAAATCTTGCGTCCACGAGACCCAGTAATCACGACGGAATTTTGTATAATGGTAAATCAAACGCAAACCTAGAGGCAAAAATGTATTCATAGTGAGGCTCCATTTTCAATGACAATTTTACCGTAATTTTAGCTTAGGAGGGGCGAGTACGATGCGCTACTCAAAACAGCGCTAGTGGGTCCTCGCGCTGCAATGATTTAGACCCTAGGGGGCCACTTCTCGCTTCCAGAAATTGGAAAAGCACCTAGTTGGCCATATTTTAGCAGTTATTAGTAACGTTGCATTACTTAGCAAAATGTGGATATTCGGTTACGGGTCGCTGATGTGGTACACCGATTTTCCGTACGAGGCGGTGCAGGGTAAGTCGAATTTTAAAGATATAAAATTCAATATTTTCGCTATGAGGCCGTGTTTAAGTCAGTTTTTTAGGTGGTACCGTAAAAGGGTATGAAAGAAGATTTTGGCAACTTTCCCCGGATCATCGTGGGACACCAGAAAAGGCATTTTTTTATTGCGAAACCCTATCAAATCCTTTTAGCCTGGAAGAACGGTGACGTTGATTCCATCGGAAAAGGCAAGTCAGAAAGGAAAATGGTAATCTTCGAAAATGTTATAAGAATTTTCATTAACTACTAAAATTGATTTCCAGGGTAGCTGCTGGGGTTTAGCCTACAAAGTTCCGGAGGACAAAGTAAAGGAAACAATCGAATATCTGGATCACCGGGAAAAAGCTGGATATTCAGTAAGTTTTTCGGATCGATGAAGTTGTCAAAAAACCTAGTTTAGATTGCTGATGTTGATTTTTATCCGGACTCCGGGGAAGCGCCTTTCAAGGTTTCTGTATACATTTCCCCGCAAAATGATAACGAATTCCATGCGGGACCCACCGAGATTGAGGACGTTGCTGTTCAGGTATCTAAATCACATCAATTTCACATTCGGCGAGAACTTTGCTCTGTAAAAATTGGCCTTCAGAGTTTGGAAATTTTTTTTCAGATAATGGAATGCCACGGACCTTCCGGGCCCAATCTGGAGTATGCGTTGAGAGTTGCGCATGTACTACACGAAAAGGTGGGCTACCTATTTTTAACACTGACACGTTTAGCCTACGATAAAAACCTTCAAAACTTACGGTTTATACGTCTTTTATAGGCTCCACACTTCGTTGACGAGCATGTTTTTGAGTTGGAAAAGTTGTTGCTGAAGAAGGCTCGAGGTGAGGCGCTTGGGACTTTTTCTCTCTTTTTGAAACTCTTAATGCTTCTTTAGGTTCCGGAACCGGGATTCAGATCCTTGAAAAGCTCGGGTACGTGCTCGAGGAGGACAACACGATCACGGAAGTGCACACCTTGGAAGTGAAAGAAGTTAAAGAAAAATAAGTTTTTGGAATGGTTGATATTGGATATGGCTTGCTTTACCCTTTCGATGCTTTAAGATAGCTTTCGGTATATTTGATTTTCATTACTCTCTTATTTTACTGTGCTTTCGGAATTGTGATATTATCACTGGTCGTAGCTTTTTCATGTTTTTTTTTTGATAAATCACTTACATCCATTTTTATTATGATGAGCTTTCGCGCGGAAAACCTATAGAAAACGCGTATTTTATTGAACTGTTTGGTTGCGTTTTCAAAACTAGACGCGAGAACCAGTTAAGAAAACTCACCTTCACCAATAGCAAAATTTTGAAGTTTTTTTTAAAGCTAAATGGTTCAGCGGAAAAATCAAAATTCGCACGGCTTTTACAACGTTTCTGAATGTTCGAACCCTTGTGGGACCCATCAAAATGAATGAAGGGCCCCTAAAAAACTCGGATGGCCGCGGAAATGTTCGTTTCGGCAGCCGTTTTTTGGGGGTGGGTGTCGACAGCTGACACTGTTTCCTGCCCCCCGGGAGGAACGTTGACAAGTGTGATCAACCAAGGTTAAGCCGACCACCCCGCCGTGAGGGGATTCCCGGTCGCCGGTTTGTTGCAATTTAGACGTAGTGGCTCTAGTAGAAATCCGAGCTGGGGTTTGGCTCGGCCTTGCCATTCCAGCTAACGTTTCGAACATTTTGAATTTTAGCTTTCGGCCGCCGAAATTTTGTTTCCGATTTTGATTTTCAATTATCATTTTTCGGCTTGGCTTGTCAGTTTCTATTTAAATCTCTCAGCACGACCATCTCCAAATGGGATTCTCGTATTTGCGCATTTCCCAATTCTCAAAGCAAATATTTGGATTGCTTGCTTGTTGGGATCGATTTTGTGAGATTGGCTCGACCTGAATAAAAGAGCCCTAAATTTTTCGGATTCTAGCAACTCCCTTTTTTCCTTTTCCCTAACAGTTTCTAGCAACTTTTCGATGTTTTTATTGATAAGCTAAGGCTTTAGATTTACAAAAATTTGAAAGCAGAGTTTCCGATGAGCAAGTCGAGAAAAAGTTTCTTGAATCGATACTTTTGACATTTGAGACTCACTTAGTTAATTTCTGCAGCATCGCGTAGGCGATCTGGTTTTGGTTTTGGTTGTGCTGGCAATCCTTCACCCCCACCTCCCGGCGGTCAGAACATGGAGGGGCAGCAGCACGGACTTGATGCCACTTTTTATGTAGTCTTTTTGTGCAGAAAGGAGGGGCAGTCAGTGAGTGAGGAGGAGAACCCACTCGAGATCCGTCGCCCGATCCGATATGAGCACCCGATTTGACATCTCCAATCGGCTTTCGAGCGAATTTTCGACCGCTTCGCGTGCGCGCATAATCGACCCCTGGCCTGGTTTCAGGTGTTTTTAGAGTAGTGGAAAGCGTAGATAATTCGCGTATTAATGCCTTTGAAGATACAGATTTTTCTAGATTCCCTGAAAGCTTGCAGGTCTCTTTTTTGTGCCAGGCATGTCAATTAAACCACATTATCATTGAGCTTTGATCCGGAAAAAGGGCCTGGTTTCGCTTTTTTTCAGCTCTGCGAGATCTCCAGCCTTTTAAACGAATTTTATCGCTAGGCGACCCGGATTACGCCGATCACCAAGGAGCCCCATAAAAATCCCATTCGGCTTTCTCTGTCCGTTCAATAGATCTTTTAGAAAAACATTTTTCTGGGTGAATTTCGTCTTTTGGCACCCCTAGAAATTTTCTCACTACGCTTTTCATTAGTAGCCCCCAAAAAAACTTTCACGCCGGTTCACTGCCCTACTTTTCCCGGTTGCCCGGCTGCCGAAAGGGGCCTAACTGGTTCTTGTCCCTTTCTGGGATCTACGCCCTGCGGATAGGGGTCGGTCGTTTTTGAGCATATAAAATTCTATTGAAGAGCTTTGCAAGATTTGGTTACTTATTTCCATACTCAGGTCCTCGGGTCCACCCAAAATCCGGTTGTATTCCACCTGGATTTGGGGTGGAACGCATGGAAATCAGCCGGATTTCGGGTGGACGCACAGGAAATCGAGTGGAAACACGACGCAACGCATGCCGCACGCGACGCGGCAAGTGGAAATCGAGTGGAAACCGGGCGGATCCTGTCGGTTTCGAACCGATTTACCGTGCATCCACCCGCAATCCGGTCAATTTCCACGTGGAATCCGGTCGCAGCCGCTACAGAAATTCCGATCGATTTCGCGAGCAGATGCCGACCGAATTTCGGGTGGACCCGAGGACCTGAGTAGGATCCCAGAAAAGTAGTTGCGTTTTAGTGGGCTGGCCCTGTGGTTGAATAGTTTTGAACGATTTCAATCTGGAAAATTGTTTTTCATTATTATTTATCTACATTTCTTTTCTTTTGAATGCCCTTGCATCTGTATCACAGTATTATTCTACTTATGTTCGGCCGTTTTGTTTTCACATTTTCTAATTTTAGATACAACTTCCAGGGATGCCAGTTCGGGACCGGAGTCCAGGTTAGTTTCTATCTTTGTTTACCGGTTTCAAATAAGATCCGCTACCAACCAAAGACAACAAACGCATGAAACCTAAAATCAGCGTTTTCCAAGTTTCTGAATCACGCCGTCAATTCACTCGCGAAATGTCGCGCGTTTCGGGAAAATGACTCAATTTCTCGCTCTCCCAAAAATACTATCAGGCGCAAATTTGTCTTGGATAACAGGTTCTAATACGTGTAGTTAGTTTTTTTCAAGCCATAGTAGCTTTTTTCCTTCGACTTCTATCCCCGTAGCCATTGGTGTCACCACGGCCACCCGGAAACTCGGGAAAGCATTGAAGATTTTGGAGTTTCGCTCAGTTTTCTATAAATTACTCAAGTTTTCTGTTAATATGAATTATAGTAAAGCTAAGTTTCCAGAAATTTTGTAACGCATGCAAAGCGGACTGTACCGACATAACGCTTTGGAGAAGGGCCGCTGATAGCAAGAAAATCCTTAGGATTACATGGGCAGCGCGGCGGGACCGAACATTTTCTTTCAAAGATACGGAACCATACGGAATCTTGGCAAAGATTTGCCTTTTTTGAAACCTACAACTTTTTGGTCCCGCTACGATCGATCATAAGCAATGGGTTGATATATATTCGGCACGAGCCGCGTGATGCACCAAAAATGGCGTTTTTGGACCCACCGCGGCCCTTCTTTTACTTTTTCCGGGCCATCGTCTTCGTTTCTGACATTCCTGACGCAATGAGTTTTATAATTTCACGTATGGGTCAATTCATTGATCAAGCGGCGCTTTTTGGGGTCTTACACAATTTTTTGGATATTAAGGTCTGATTTTCGAAATTTTTTTAGGTAAGTCAAATCCCAAATTTTCTTGCCTGCCAGCTATTTTTTGATGCAACAAATTTGCCGCTGCCGCGTGACAATTCCTCCACGCCGTTGGGATAGATAACAGAAATGCCCACGGCCCTAAAACCCCGGGGCAGGCGACCCCTCGCTCGCCCGTATCGGGCAAAATTTCCGTGCTCAAATATCGTGCCCACCCCGCCGTTCTCTTCCCCTATTCGTTTATTCTTTCGGCGTACAGTTTCGTACTATTTCTTGCTTGTTGTCTCTGTTCCTCTCGATAGGGTTGTTCTCTCGCCCCATTCCTATGCCCCGTCACCCCCGCGGGTTCACTAGAGGGGAGCCACTTGGGGAAGGGCCGCGATAAACCGCTTGCCACTTATTCTTTTCGCTACGTTTATTGACTATCGGCATTTTGAATCGCCAGACTCGCTGGCAAGGAAATTGTAACGCTTTAAGGTAATTTATTTATCGAATTTTCCAGGCGTTTTAAGTTGCTTTCAGCTCCGTTTTCCCCCATAAAAATTTGAGAATTAGAGCACTGCGTATAACGGTCAGCAGCAAGTACATACTATTGTAAATAATAATTAGATAGTTTCGAGTTTATTTATCGTGTTAATTGATCTTTTAAAGCCGAAAACCCCATATTTTATTGCAAGACTTTACGCTTTTTTATTTTAAAAGTGTTAAAACAGGCGATTTTGGTTTTTTAGATTTACCCTACTTTGGCTGTAGTTTCCTATTTTTTTCGCCCCTCTCTGTCCGTTAAAAGTTTCCGTACGAACCCGTTGACATATGGCGCGTTTTAAGAAATTTACGAGCGGCTTAATGGGACGCTCAGGCTCAATTTTATTCGGAAAAGCGAGAGCAAACCCAGCTCTTGCTTGCCTAAAACTTTCAGTCTTATCGTGGCTTTAACAAACTAGATTTCAGGCCTTTAGATACCTATTAAGTGCAAAAATTTCCTTTCCAGACGTCGACGATTTCCTTGTGAAAAACAAGGGTATCTTGTTGAACCTCATCGAGAAGGCATTGACAAAGAAAATGGCAGCGGGAAATGAGGTGAATCCATTACTTCTCGCAGTTTTAATTCAGTGGCCCTTCAAATGTATACATTTCAGCAATCCTCAATTCCCAACACTATATCAAAAACCCAACCACACGCAAGAGTTGCGACAAGTTGAATCCTAAAAGAACCCGAAAGTGAGGTCAAGCTGAATCAAGTGGAAGCGGAAAAGAATCCGGAATTTATACAAATGACAGCGAGAAACCGGGAAATTTACAAATCAATTAGCCGGAAAATCGGATGAATTGGAATAGGTTCATCTTTCTTCCTTTAGTCTTCTAAAGGGATGGTAAGGATAAAAAAAATCGAAATTTGGCTGGACTTTACCATCCCTTTCTTCAATCCAAAATTGAGTACGATACTAACCGTTTTTCCTGATTTGTCGTGTAAATGGCTGGGCCATTAAATAACCCAAAATCGATGGGATATTTAATTGGGATTAAAACATACTTTTCAAGGTCGAATCGTCGCCGCGAAGCACGCGCAGCCGGTCCCAGTCTGTTCCGAGAAAGTCAGTTTTTTCTGAGACTAATCTTTTTTCCGGTTTTGCGTATTTACATCACATAAATTTAGGCGTGAGAAGAGTGCGAGGTAAGGTTTTTCCACACCGTTTACTTGCACATTGGGTCCCTGGGCTTACTATAAAGTCGATGTCTTGATAATCCAAAGAAATTTCAGGATCTCGGAACGATCCCCATCCAGAAGTCCGCCTCGTAGGAGGAAGGACCGAAGACGGTCGCGCACGAGGAGCCGCACCAGGTCGAGAAGGTGGGGAGAAAAGATACTGAACAAAACGAATTATAGAATGTATCCAGCAAGTCAGAAAAACAGTATAGATCCGTATTACAAAATTATTTAGCCGTACCTACTCGCCTCTTCCGCGCGGGCGTGGAGAACGTGAATATTACAGCGGCCGGGATTATGGACGTCAGCGATACAGGTGATCGCTCCCCCTCTCTCTCTCTCTCTCTCTCTCTCTCTCTCCCTCTCTCTCATTCTCTCACTCTCTCTACTCTCTTTTTCTTCGTTATTTTCCTCCGCTGCTTCAGAGACGGCCGCGATCGCCCGGAGCCCAATCGATGCATCGGAATTTTTGGAATGAGCTTGAACACTAATGAGAGGGACTTGGAGAACATCTTTTCGGAGTTTGGCACCATTGATCAGGTTTGGAAATTGTGACGCTACAAAAATAATCGTTTTGTTTCAGGTGCTCATTGTCAAAAACAGAGACACCGGCCGTTCCCGCGGGTTTGGATTCATTTATTTTACCAGGACCAAGTATGCGATGAAGGTGGGTCTCTAGGCGACTGGAGAGAGAAAGAAGAGAGAGAGAGAGTGATAGAGAGAGAGAGAGAGAGAGAGTGACTGCATCAAAGTTTTATTTTTCAGGCTAGAGATGAAATGGCTGATGCCACAATTGACGGCATGAAAGTTCGGGTGGATTTTTCTGTAACTGAAAAGAATGGCGGAGGTGGAGGAGGGAGGTCAGTGTTATCCCTCTATAACGTTTTAAAATGCTACTAAAATAGTACATTCTGATTTCAGGAGATACTGAACAACTTGAAAACCTCCTGCGCCATTTTATCGTCCGAAAATCAGATGCCTTGCCGTTGTCACAAGCGTTTAACAAGTTAATTTTTGCTTTGCTTTTGGTATTAAACTTTGGTCATTGTATGTCCTGTCATAGCTTTATTGTTTTCTTAACGATATCAGCAATACTTTTATCATGCCAAGTTTTGCCTTTCTGGTCACTTTAATGTGTCTTGTGTTGCTTTCTGATCGAATTTTGGGTTGATTGGCTTCGTGGTTTGCATCCTATTGTGATCTTCAGTCTTCAAAGTTGGACCGCTACCGGTTCCGCTTTGTGAATAAAATATTGAGCTCGATTTGCACCACCTTAAAGGCACTTACAGCGACGTCGAGGCAAAAAGGAAAAGCGGTAACAATGCGATTGCGAGAGAGAGAGAGAGAGAGAGAGAGAAGAAAGAGAAAGAGAGAGACACACAGACAGACAAACAGAGCGAGCGGGAGAGAAGCTCAGAAAATAAATACAAGCCTCAAATTTACATATTCATGACGCATAGAACGAGGCTAATTTGCATAATTTGCACCCCGCGACGAAAAATCAGAAGGACACTTCGGTTTGAACGATGCCCCACCCAACCCTCCGGTTCGTTCGATGACAACCACGGCGAGGATTTGCATCTTCCTCTTCCTGCTCTTTTACCCGATCGGCGGAGAGGTATGCAAATTTGTAAATGTAAAAGTCTCTCCTTGTTTTTAGCGCGCCAAGGAGCAAACGTGCCCAAATGACATCTGTCATCTCAGGCGGAGCTTCGAGGAGTTCATGGGGCAGCTCAACTGCTTTGCCTTTGACGGCGATGAAACCGGCTACCGTTTCAGGTAAAATATCTTCTCTCTCTCGCGCTCTCTCTCTCTCGCTTTCTCTTCCTTCATCTCTCGCACTCTCTCGCTCTCTATCCCGAAACTTTTCTTCTCAGCAAAGTCGAGTACGCGTACCGTCAAACATACGTCATCGAACAGGATGGCCGAGAACGAATCCGTAACGAAGCGGTACGATGCTACGACCCATTCTACGATCTCGGCACTCTGACCAACGCATCGGTACGCCCCAAATTTTCGATGCTTTTTTTGTTTTTATATTGTTTTCTAAAAACTGTGTAAAATGTTACAAAAAATTAAGGCTAAATTCAAGTATACGGTCACCTAGCGAAACCCAGACTTTTTATATAGAGAAATGTTCAGCTCGACGAGCTGGTTCAGGATCAGTTGAAAAAACGGTATATGTCGGCTACGCGGGGGGGACAATTTTACGCGGGGGGGGGGGGACGGACTGTTGGGGCCGAGCTAACTATTTTTTTTTGCGTTTCTTTTTGCTACAAACAAAACTCTTAGTATATTTTTCGACTCTGTCGAATGGCACTGAAGAAATTTTGTTTTATTACATTATTTATTTTGTACATTTGTATTTGTATGTATTTGTACATTTATTTTGTATTACATTATTTTGAGCTAAGATTCAAACTCGTAGTATATTTTGGATGCTCTATCGAATGGCATTTTTAAATTGTTGAAAAAATAGCGCGAATGTCGAAAAACAGCCGGTCAACCCGATTTTCAACGCTTATTTTTGTATTTGCCTTAACTTTTTTATATTACACTAATTTGAGCTAAAACAAAAACTCTTAGTATATTTTTCGATGCTCTATCGACCGCCGTCGCAAAAATTCCAAGAAAATAACGAAAACCCCCAAAAAAGCCTGCCTGTCCCGTCCCCCCGCGTAAAATTGTCCCCCCCGCGTAGCCGACATATACCGAAAAAACAATTGGGAAACACTTTTGGAGCGAGATATAGGCGTCAAAGTTTGAACACCAAAGGGCCAAAAGGCCCATTTCCTTGGATATTTCCTTTAATACACCCAAACTTTACCTAAAATAAGGCTTCGTGCCACCCGGGGCCTAGTCGCTTCGGATGGGCGCGGCTCGTACAGGTTTCGAATGGGGGCGCCAAGGCCGGCGAAGCGGCCGGGGGCGCCCCTTTCGGAAGAGTGGAGCGGCAGCCCATCCGAAGCGACGGCCCACCTTGCCTGACAATGTGAAAAGCCTCACCGTTACCTTTATTTTACATTAATAGCGTCAAAAACGATTAAAAATTAAAAAACAAGTGTTATTGCAGAGGTACGTACGAATACAGGCTACACCGCTCCGTACAAAGGAGTGTCGCGTAGCCGGAACTTTCCGAAAACCGAGTTTCAAACCTTCATAACTTTCTTTATACATTTTTCCCAATGATTCTTTCAACAGATATGGGCTCTGCTCGACGAGCTGCACATTTCTATGCATAAAACATGCCTGTTTGGATAGGTGACCGTATACCTAACTAGCCAAATTTGGACCCTTATATCTCGCTCCAGAAGTGTTTCCCAATAGTTTTTTTCAACTGATCCTGAACCAGCTCTTCGAGCTGAACATTTCTATATATAAATAAGTTGGGTTTGGCTAGGTGACCGTATACTTAAATTTTCCCAAAATTAAAATGATCTATTTTTCGTTATAGATCAGTAGAGAATGAAAAGGAAAAATTAATCCCCCCGCTAACAGCTAAGAACCGAAGATGGATTCAGGTCGATGTCGAGTGGAACGGCCGTACCTGTATGGTCGCCGACGAGTTCGGGTGTCAGGAATGCCCGGTCGGCCATAAGCCCGATCCGGACACCGCGTGGGTTTTGGGCTTAAAGGGGCTGGGGGAGCGTTGGTAGTTTTCCTTGAGTCGTGGAAATGTGGGATTTCAATCTTTGTCCGTTTTCAGATCGAAATTCGCCACTTTTCAAAGCTGTGTGCCCGTGCAACTTGGCGAAGACATCTACCTACGGATGCCCAGAACGTTCACGGAAGCCAGAGAAACGATGATGCCGAAGGAGATGTACTGCCCAGAGTGAGGATATAGAAACTATCTTCGTTTTTGGTATCTTAAACCTATATCCGTTCCTTTCCAGCGGCAAGCGACGAGACTACCGTGGCACTTGCACCTGGAGATGCACGGACAACTGCAAGGAGTGCATGGATTCGAAGGTAGAAAGCGAGAGAAAGAGAGAGAGCCCGAGAGAGCCAGAGAGTTAGAGAACGTGCTAACTTCTTTGTTTCAGGAATGCGTGCAGTGCCTGCCCGGCTTCAGCTCGTCGTACGACAGCAAGCTGTGCTACAACTCCGTCAAGATATGCCCAAAGCAAGATTAAGATTAAGATCTTCTACCTTCGGTTTTAGGGGTTATCACCGATCGCTGGAGAAGCGGTGCATCAGCTGTGGGGTGACGACGGAGGGTTGTCTGGAGTGTGGGCCGGTAGGTGCTCTCTCGCACTCTCTCTCACGCTCTGTCACTCGCTTTCTCTCTTTCTTCCTCGCTCTTGCTCTGTTTTTTTCATGCTCTCTCTGATTTGCTCATTCTCGTGCTCAATCGCGATAATTTTAACCATTTTTGCAGCAAGGTCTCTGCGTCATCTGCCAATCGAACCGTGTCCGCGTCCACTACAACAACGGGCTGAAGACGAAATGTCTGATGATTTGCCCAAGGTTTACCGATCACTTTCGGGAAGTAACGTCATCTACAGGGGCCTGTACTTCGACGTCGACCTGGTGATGTGCAAGCCGTGTCCCAGCTGGTGCGCTCATTGCTCAGGGTGAGATTCACGAAACGTGGCATACCTACCTGTGATTCCAGCCCGAGAACGTGTGCGGAATGCGCGGATGGGTTGTACACGTTTCGTCGTCCGTTTGATTGGCCGCCGATATGCCGACGAAAACGAGAAAGTCGTCGAGTGCTTGAATGCTTGCCCGTGGGTAGAACGAGAGAGAGAGAGAGAGAGAGAGAGAGAAAGCGAGAGAGATAGAGAGGGAACACAAAAGATACCCAACCTTTTAGAGAAGACTTCTACCCCAGCAGCTCCGCCCCAATGCAATGCCTGCCCTGCTCAACGGCTTGCAATGGATGTTGTGCGTTTTTCACTCGTCTACCGCGCACTAAAGAATGCTTCCTAGCTGGCACCATCCCTTTAAAAACTGTCAAAACTCTTACTTTCCATTCTAGGGGGACCAACGGCCCAACACTGCTACCAATGCAGGTACTGGGGCTACATCGGCATGGACTCGCCCTTGGTCAGCAACTTTTGATCGCAGAAGTTCTTCCATTTAGGCCACCTGCCAAGACTTCATCACGACGTCGAGCAGAAAGTACGATGAACCCTCGCCAGACGAAAATGCCGCGCGGCGACGACGCAAACGAGGCATTCAGCGTCCAGGCGATGTAGCCATTTGAAAATCTGTTGATGTTCTACGCCCTATATGCTTTGTCGTAACGTAATGTATCGTAACGTAGCGTACTGGGTAAGTATAGTTTTACCATTTAGCGTTATGGAAACCGAAAAAACATGAAAAAAATCTATTTCTGATATTCCTGAACGTAAAAACTCTACAAAAATTTACTAGAGATACGAAAATGTCTCTGTTTCGAATAGGATTTCACCTGAAAAATTTTTCATAGCTTTTCCTGATGTTTTCCCGCTTAAAACATTGTTACAATTTATTAAAAACGCTAGTAAAACTGAAAATTAAGCTACGAGGCGTTTCGAGACTTGCACAAAAAATTCCGCCCCCCCCCCGTTAATCCCAAAGGTCTCTTTAGCTCATCTTCAACATGGTCGGCACCAGGTTCAACCTATACGGCGACAAGCTCAGCGACTGGGCATTCCCACCCCCGGAAAGGGCGATCTTCTCGCGCTACTTCAGGGACAAGGACGAGCTGAAGACATACTGGGCAACGTCTGACTGCGTCCAAGGAATTTATGAAGTTCCTAGGAAAGCAAAAGAGGATAACATCACCCTGATGGAGCTGTACGCGCCGTTTTGCCTCAGCGAGGATTGTCTCAACAATTGCACCCTCGGGGAATCGCTGGTTCATGTGGGAAAGATTTGATTTCGTAAACTAGCAACTAGAAAAAGTATCTAAAACATTTTAAAAAAGTCAACATTTTGGTCAAGAATCAGTTAATTTCGATCGAAAAATCGATAGTTTTCGGATTTTTAATACACATTTTTAAGGTTTTCACGTTTAGGAATAGTAAAAAACAATTTATAAACACTTCCACTATTTATATGTGAAAAATTGGATCATGAGAAACAATTTGTTCCACCTTGTAGCTCCTCAATGAGCTCTGCTAAGTACTTTTTGAATCCTTAATGATTTCTGCTAGCCTTCCTCTCTTCTCAGAAATTTCCTCAAGAACCCTAGCTTGGTTTCGATTTTCAACGTTGCATCTCATAGCCTGACCTTGAATTCCTCAAGAACCGTTGCCAGCTTGCCATTGCGTCCCGTTTCTTGGATATCCAAAAACTGCATTTTGAGCCGTGCCTAACCTGCGTTCCTGGCTATGTCAAGGACTTCAAAGGTTACTGCCGGGAACAGTGTGTAGAGTAAGCGAATTTCTCAAAAATTGGCACAGGCCGTTTTTTTTAGAAACTCCTTCTACACGCCAGCCCTCCGAGACGAGAACAGCACCCAGCGAGGGCCCGACTGCATCATGTGCCTCGAGCCGTCACGATGTCACACCTGTGCTTGGGTTGGTTTCGGGTTAAGGGGACTGCGAAGCCCGGAGTATCCGAGTTAAAAATTTCGGGGACTATACAGGGTGTCCCAAACCCCCCCTCTAGCGGTCCGTGGGAAGCTCAGATCTGGATGATTTTTATACCATTCGAACGCCCGCGAAAAGGCGAGAAAACAAGCGGGCTTCATTTTCTAAGATTTATTATCATTCGTCCGATATTCAGCGTTTTTCTAAAAAACAGGTAGCTTTTCAATAGGAATTTCGCAATTAGCATGCGGATCTCGCGTAAATCTGCCGTTTGCATGGATTTTGGAGGTAAAATTCGCCAATAAAAATACATAATAAAGAAACTGAACTTTTCTTGTTTTTTCGCCTTTTCGAGAGCTTTCGATAGATACCTAAACGGCGAAAATCGGACCCGTCTGGGCGCCGACACGTCCGAGGGGGTTGGGACACCCTGTACTAGACCCCCTTGCTAAGAATCCAGTACCAATCTTGCCTATTTCAGTACAGCGAACCGCCCGATCCGATGTACTACTCGTTACTGGCCAATATGAGCTACAACTCGACCTACGATGAGGAGATGAAAGGTTTTTCAAAAACTGCTCGAAATTCACCGCAAGCTCTTGTTGAAGATCCAACGCTGAAGCGAGTGCAGTGTCTCGCGAAGGACCGGAGTCATTTTGGGTTCCAGTGCATCGACAAGTAGGTTTTCTTCAATGGCGCTCTCTCTCTCTCTCTCTCTTCTCTCTCTCTCTCTCTCTCTCTCTCTCTAGTGCTCTGTCTCCCCAGAATTCCCTGATTTTCCAGTTTCCAATTCATCGATGTCTCCGGCTACTGCCGCTCTTGCCACCCAGAATGCCTAGGATGCGTCGGCTCCAGCGCGAACCAGTGCAAGAAGTGCCGTCATGTGATGGACATTAGTGGCGTAAGTGGGGGAGCCCTACGGAATTTCTTCCATTTCAGTACTGCGTCAAGGAATGCCGTCCCGGCTATGTGACCAAGGAGCTGGTGGTCGGCTGGCACTTTTGCACCCAGCCCTACGATGAGTTCCGGAAGGATCGCTACAACTTTTCGGTGGGTAAGAGAGAGAGATGAGGAGAGAGGGGGAGAGAGAGAGAGAGGGGGAGTGAGAAGAGGCAGATCGAGGCTCGAAAATCACTGATTTAGTCGAACTCGTTCCACCGGCTGTACGACGAGGGGTCGCTGCTACAGCAGTCGCTGATGTGGGCGCTCTCCGTCCTGCTGATCATCATCTACCTCATCGTGCATTTAATGGGCGTGATTGGTCCGTAATCGCTGTTCTGAACTGCTTGGCGACGTCGTTCTAACTTCTTTTAATACAGTTGGATTATTTTACCAAACTTTTTGCACCATTATTTTTCAGTCACCTGGCACTGTCCGAGCGGCGACGAGACCGAGCTGATCGTGTGGCGGGAGGAGAGGTACTTTTTTCCGGAACGATTTTCTTGTTGTCCGGCTTCAAATTCGTGAAACCGGTTCAATGTTTTAGCTTTGTCCGCTGGCAGTCCAACCTGGCCATGGAGGGTACGGTAGCCCGACGTACGAGTGTCCTGCGCCTCCGTCGACGGCAAAGCCCAACAGCAAGTAATTTTTCCGACTTTTTCACGGGCTTTGGGCGACTAGTATCCAGAAAAACGCAATCATTTTAGCTAACGACTCCGGGGCGGCCAAGCAGCGCAACCCACTGCAAGACACCAAGATGTTCATCCGCAGAAACGTGGGGCAGATACCGTAGGCGGAAAATTCGACCACTTTTTTAGCCCCGGCGTCGAGTGGTGAAGCGCGTCCCGAAGAAAGAGCTGCCGGTCGATGAATCCCAGTCTTCAAGTTGGTTCTAAGATTTTTCTAGGCTTTTTGAACCTACGTAGCGGATCTTGGACCTCATACCAAAAACCTTACGATTCATACCAAAAACCTTGAGCAATTCAGAAAGCCCCCTTGCCGTGTGCGCGACGCAGCCCAGCTTCATCCTCCCGCCAGCCACAACCCCGCGGCCCGACGACATGTTGGATCCCGAGGCAACCCTCCCCGAAATGCTCTTTTCCCTGGGCGTTGACGTCACCGAAAAGACCATGGTAAGAGGCCAGGAAAATTACTAATTTTTCCTTTCGCCAGTCGCCCCAAAGCGTGGCCACCCAGGACAAGCAGCAGAAGCTCAGCAACCGGCCCGTCGTCGACAAGACTCAACGCGGGCACAGGCGTCGCGGCTCGCGGGCGAATAGTATGTCTGGGAAGAGTGCCAAGGTGAGGCTGATGATGCAGTTGTGTAACGTTTTTGTGTCCAGGCACGCTCCGGGAAGACGGGCGGCAGTGGGAGGAAGGCGCGCTCACTACAGAAGCCGGCAAAGATCAGGGCCAAGGGCTCGACCTCGAGTCGACCATCAGCCGGCAGCCAGAGTCTTGCGGATAAGGTAAAAAACGCAAAATCCAACAATTATTTTCGGCTTGCAGGGCTCGACGATCCCGTCGTTGAACACCGACCGCGAGCTGGCATTGCCGCCGGGGGCGAGCGGCAAGACGAGGGTAAGGATAATTTTTGTTTTCTCGCGCTTCACTCTCACTCTTGTTCTCTCACTCTCCCTCTCTCTTGCTTTTGCTTTCTCTCAGTCGCTCTCTCGTCGTATACTCTCCCTCGCACGCTGACTACCAAATTTCTGCTTTTTTCAGAAAGTTTCATCCCGTACGCAACGCTTCACCGAACGTGAGGTCGAGCCGAAGAAACTGGGAGCCAGCGGACGCCAAAGGGTACATTTTATTTTCCTTTCTTCTCCTTCTCTCACACTCTCTCTCTTTCTGTCGCTTTCCCTCTCTTTCTCTCTTTCTCTCTCTTTCTGTCGCTTTCCTTCTCTCTCTCTCTCTCTCTTACTCTCTCAATATCGCTACATTTCCAGTCTCGCCCCTCCACCTCGCCCGGCCGTTCCGGCAAGTCTGGCAACTCGGGCCGTCGACGTCAGAAGTGAAGCCCCCGCCCATCTGATGACCCCGCCAATCCCGCTGAAATCTCCCACCTCGCAAAGACCTCTGATTATTTGAAAAGTGTTCGTCAATCATTGCTTTTGTACAAATGCATCGCGTCGTCTTGTATCACCGTATCCTTTCTGCGACTGGATAAAGTGATTTTAAGCTCGGATCCTAACACATGTCACACTTGCATCGGAAAGACAGGATCATGGAAAAAATAAGCGACTTTGACGCAGGCTAAATGGGCCAGGAAGTCTGGTCCAGGCCCTTTGCCGTTGATTCCTGGCAAATAGCCATATGACGCCGCAACGTGACCGCGCCGCTTGGATTTGCCAGCTTCAGCCGGAACAATTCGGATAGCGCGTTGGGTAGCCGTGGATTTGAGTTTGAACTTCATTACCGCCATTTGCATATTGAATGGAATCGGCTTCCTTCCTACCTAAAATCTGTTACTTCCCCCTTTTCGTCCAATTCTATCAGCTAGCCATCTCCCTACTCTGATGTCCTCCATCTTGCTGCTATTCCTCTTCATCCCGGCAGCCATCGCCGCCGATAAGGTTAGAGAAACATTGAGACAATTTACTAGCGGATTAAGCACTTCCATGAAAGCCACTGCACCCTCGATCTTTGCAAGCTCCAGCCACAGTAGTTTTCTGTCGTAATCGAATAATCCATGTGCTCCAGCTACGTCGAGGCGGTGCTGGACCGTCTATGCGTGACGCCGGAAGACCCTACAAACTTCAACTTTGCTTTCGCGTAGGTTGCAGCTGGGTGAAAGGGAGCGTGTAGGAGAGAGCGAGAGAGAGAGAGAGAGAGAGAGAGAGAGAGAGAGAGAGAATGTTACTGTCTTTTTCAGTGGATATCGCTTCCCGCTGCACAAAACGTACGTGAACGGTAGCCGATATCGCTCCGACCTGATGGTCTGCCATGACCCCGTGGACCCGGAGGAGCACGAGATTGTACGTCAAATGACGCATTGATTTTAATTATCCACGTAGAGAGACCACGAATGGATGGGCCGGAATTGCGAGACGTACGTCGAGGAATGGGGATGCGTGGAGTGTCCGTTTGGAATGGCGCCCGTTGTTCAGGCCGGGTAGAGTTTTTCTATGAAAACGGGGGTAAGTAGAGAGTGAGACATGGGGAGCGGGAGAGTGCGGAGCGAGCGAGAGAGCGGGAGAGTGCGGAGCGAGCGAGAGAGAGGGAGAGAGGGAGACAAATAGAGTTTTCTCATCTTCGTTCGCGAATGAGCCTACCTACTTCCAGCAGAGCTCGATTCGAAACATGCGCTCTGGGGTCCTTGGCCCCCGCTGACATTCCCTCATCCTATGAAACCGCCTTGGAGGCTGCCGATCTGCCATTCAACATCTATTGTGACGAGTGGGCTACAGGAAAGGCGGAAACGGAACCCTTGACTGTTCAGAGGCTTCTTCCGTGCCGGCGACTTTGGCGAGGAAACCTCCGTCGAAGTGCGGCGTTGCCCAAGGGACAATTGTCGTTTGTGCCCCGGGTGGAAGGGAACGGTGCGTTGGAATCTGCTTACCATCTTCACAAGTCTCAGCCCAAGCCTAAGGCTACGCCTAAGCCTAAGCCGAGGCCTAAGCCTAAGCCTGCGAAAAATCGTTCTTTTCCAACTTTCCGAAAAATCCAAATTCTGCCTTTTTCAGGAATGTCTCCAATGCAGCAGCGGCAACGTCCTCAGCTACGATGGCAAATTTTGCGGTGATCCGACCCGGATGAAGTGCCCGATTTCCACGTAGGTCTCTCTCGCTCTCTCGTTCGCTCTCTCACTCTCACTCGCACTCTCTCTCTCGCCGTTCAACCCTACCCGTTTCAGCGGCTACTTCAAAATCGGGCAACGATGCGCGCCATGCAGCACGCGGACGCCGTTCTGCAGCAAATGCACGGAGGTATGAGTGCTTCCAAATATTTTTTTCAGTTCACCTTTTTGCAGGAAGGCGAGTGCCTAGAGTGCGCCCATGGGATGCACGTGTTGAAGAAGCCCTATGGCGAGACGTGCGTTTCCGAATGTTCAAGGTGAGAAGTGAGGAACAAACTGGCGACGATGTTTTGCGAAAATGTCGGATCTGTGGTATTAGGGGGGGGCGGTTGCCCTCACCGACCTATCAACCGAGGCCGCCCCGCTAACAGAATAGACCTTGTATCTTTTCAGGGGCTCCTACATGGACGCGACGACTGGGGTGTGTGGCGACTGCCCGAGCTGGTGCCAACAATGCAATGAGTGAGAAATACTGCGTTTTCCCGCTTCGCGTCGCACGCCGCGTTACGCGTCGCGTTGCGTGCCGCGACGCATCTATACCACGAAAACCAGTGTTTTTAGCGGTACGTGCAACGCATGCATCCCCGGGCTGTACATGATGCAGAAGGGTGCATACGTTTTTTGCGTCAACGCGTGCGAGTGGGTAGTTCCAAATAAAGAAAACGAGAGAGAGAGAGAGAGAGAGAGAGAGCCAGGGCGACAGAGAGTGAGACTGCTAGAGACAGATAGAGAGCGAAAATACAAATTTATTTTGCACTTTTCAGCGAGAACTACTACCCGGAAACGATAGCCCCGATGCGCTGCATGCCGTGCCACATGGCGTGCGATCAATGCTGTAGGGTCCAGGATCGAAGATTCACGCTGTTTGCACGCTGTTTTCGGCTAGCCTTGAGCGTAAAAACTTTAGAATTTGAGTAACACATTTATTTTCCTGCCCGATTTCTAAACCTTCCAGGGGGCCCCAGCGAGGCGCACTGCATGCGGTGCCGCTTCTTTGGCGAGCTGGTTGTCTCACAGAAATTGGTCAGTTTTCGTCGAAACGCGATTTTTATTGGTGTTTATTTTAGGCCCTTTGCCATCACTCGGATTTTGGGACCAAGAGAAGGCGGAAGCGCGAAGGGGCAACGGGACTTGATACGGTTGGTAATTAGCTCGGTACGCCTCGAAACCACTCGAACCTTGAAAAAAGGCGCGAAAATGTTGTAGCTGATCGACATGGTCGACGAGGGAGACCGGCTGACCGTCTACGGGAGGAAGGCATCGGAAGAGCCGGACCGGGCGAGGCTCGTCTACTCGGCGTTCTTCTACAGCATCGAGGATTATCAGCAGTATTGGGCGGTGTAAGTTTATGAGCGAGAGCGAGATAAATATTGAGAGAGCGGGACAGAGAGAGAGAGGGAGAAAGAGATGGAGGGCGAGATTGAGAGAGAAAGAGGCGAGAGAGAATGAGAGAGTGCGAGAAAGCGAGAGAGAGCGAGAGAGAGAGCGAGACAGAGAGCCTTCCACATCCCTCTTCCCCCCCCCCTATGACGCAAAAGTACCTTTTCAGACGTCAAGAAGAGAAGAACCTCTCCAAGGTCGAGCTGTACGCCCCGTTTTGCCAGAGCGAAGACTGCCTCGATCACTGCGCCAACGCGACATTGGTCCACGTGGGGGAATCTTGTAAATTTATTCTAAAATCTTAGCCGTGCCCGTACTGTGAGCCGAACTATTTCAAGGACTTCCGCGGGTACTGCGTCGCCAGATGCCCACCGTAGGCTACGCGAACGTTGTTTGAAAAAAACCCTTCTTCTAGCGGCTCGTTCGCCAATTTGATGGACAGCGAACAGCCGTCTTGCGTGATGTGCCTGAATCCGACAAAGTGCCATACCTGCGATTGGGTGAGGAACACTTGCAACTTATCGTGCTCACGAGAATTACCCTTCTAAAAAACTGCAAACATCAAAAATGAAAATGTCGAAAATCACTTTTTCGAAAAATTGTAAAAATCTTCTCAAAATCAGGGGAAACGATATTTTCCTATTAATCGATAAATGCCCAGGAACGTAATAACCTGTATTTTAATTCTTTAAAATAATTGAGCTGGATTTGAAGCGAAAAAGCACTTGAAAAACATTGGAAAGCATTTCTCGGCATTTTTAGCCTAGGTTTTGGTCAGAAATTGGTCATTTTTTAATGTTTTCCTATTTTAGCAAAAATTTCGAAATCTTTTACGTTAGGGATAGCCAAGAACGTTTTAAAAAAATTCCTCGAGTCATCTTGGAAAAACGCAGTCCTCAGAAAAAAAAGTGTTACCCCGATAATGGAGAACCAAAAAAAAAATGAAAAATTGCGAGAGCACAAAATTTTTTCAAACTTACGACGGAAGCGTTTTTACAAGAAAGATACCCCCGTTAATGCACCAGAACCGCCACTTCCACATCACCCATTTCAGTACCGCAACGCACCAACACTTGCAAACGACACCGAACCGCGACCACCGCCCTGGGAATCCCTCAACGACGCGCACACTTATAGCGTCGAAGAGGAGCTGAAAGGTCGAAGACGGATTCAGAATCAAAAAAGAATTTTAGACCCGAGCCTGCGTCGCATCCAATGCCTAGAAGTAGTCGGCGACGCACGCCACAACGCTACTTGCTTCCCGGAGTTTGTCATCAAAGGGATAGCGCCACAATTGATGTTCAGCTTCCAATTCGTCGACGGTGCCGGATACTGCCTGCCCTGCCACGCCGAGTGCATCGGCTGCAGCGGCTTCAACGCGAATCAGTGCACCAAGTGCCGCAATGTCATGGACGCTGATGGGGTAGGGGCGAATTGTACGGCTAGCCGTTAGCGATAGCCGGCGTAGCCGCTATGCTAGTCATTTTTTGCGTATTTACTGCCCACAATGAGATGTTTTTAGTGCCCACGAAGTTTCGAAAAGGGACCAAGCCACTTTAGCGCAGAATTTTTTGCTGATTAAAATATCGGTGAAAATCTGCGAATCGACCAAAATCAGGAAGTCATGGCAATTTAAAGGAGAAAAACAACGAAAGTTGGCCTTTTTGGGCCTTTTACAAACTTTAACGCGTCATAACTTTTGAAATACGGTCGTTTCGTAGATTCTGAGAAGCAGGTTTTGAACGGCGAAAAATTCTGCACAAAATAGGCCTGGTCACATTTCGAAGCCCCGTAGGCCACTAAAAAAAGTCGTAGCGTGGAAGAGGGGTTAGTAAGATTAGGTTACTAGTTACTACCTCGCCTTCCCATCAATTCGGAATACGAAATAAACCAAAGACGATAGTTGAGCTGCGGCGCCGGACGCCGCGCGACGGCACCGCCGACATCGTGTCGCCAAATCCCCACTTTCAGTACTGCATCCCCGCCTGTCCACCCGGCCGGACGAGAACAGAACTGAAAGGGATCCCCGGAAGGATCTACTGCGTGACGCTGCGACCACGGCATACGATAGAGTGGTACGATGGCCTCATGCTGCAGGTGGTAAAATCTTTTGTGAAACATTTGAAACCGCGCAAGAAAATGGCGTGGTGCATCTCATCATCTTTAGCAATTCGACCACATGGCATTCCGCAAAACATACGTGAGGAACTACTCCATCTTCTTCATCGCCCCGCTGATGCTGTTTTTATACATGTCGCTGCAGGGATCCGGGTTATATGGTACGGTTTGAGGTTTTGTAGTTTCTCTCTCTCTCTCTCTCTCTCTCTCTCTCTCTCCTTCCGTAAGTCTGAATTTCTAGTTGCCTACCACGGGGTCGACGCCGACGACGCCGAGCTGTTACCTTGGGGCCGCGAAAAGTACAAAATCGCTTACAGTTTTGGAAGCAATGACTTCTAGCGAGATTCGCCAAGAAGCTCGTCGACTGCGGCTGGAGAAGGCGCTCCTGAAGCGGATGCATGCAAGGATTTCAAGAGAACCTCGTGATCTGGGCAGCCACCAGCGCACCAGTGCTTGTAGATGTTTCCGGAATCCGCCAGAATCGAGTTGTTTTTAGCCGACGAGTACATGCCGATGCCGCTAAAGCCGAGGAGGGTGATTATACGACACCGAGTGGTAGATGTGAAAATGGTTTGATCACAATTTTAATCGAATTTAGCCCCGCCCCAAAGCCATGAGAGCGCCCGACTTGAAGACGGTCATCGACCACACACACCATTCTGGTGAATGTTCAAGAATATTTTCGAATGTTTTTGCAGAGGAAAAACTGCCGATATCCCCGACGCAAGAATGTCCAGATCCGACCCCGACGCTGATGACGTCCAAGCCGCCGAATGTTTCTAAAAAAGGTAGGGAGAAATTATTTCTTTCGCTCTTTCTCGGCCTATATCGCTCTCTCGCTCTCTCTCTCGATTTCTCTATCTCTCACCTCGGCCAGTCAATTACAAGACAGAGAGAGAGAGGTAGAGAGAGGGAGATGGAGGGAGAGCTACAGCACGCGCCGGATTACAGACAGTGAGCCAAAGAGAATCATCGTCATGTTTCAGAACAATCCGAACCCAGCCCGGCCCCCACCCAGATCCCTTCCTTCAAAGAAGTCCTCTTCTCACCTCCACAGTACGCCGATGAGGACGACCTCTGCATTGACGACACGATGGCGGTCAGAAATTGATGTGTCGGTGTGTAAACAGCGTTTTAGTCCCCACTTCCGGCCGCTCAACGCGCCTCCAGCGCGGCGAAAGCCCCGGTCACCCCGCAGAAGCGCGCCGTCCCGAACGCCGAGCGCAAGCCGAGTGCCCCGCAGCTCTCCGGAGCGTCCGGTAGGAAGAGGACGAGCGCGAACAGTGTGAAGAGGATTAAGGATAAGGTAGGGTCTGATTTTTGATAGGACATGCTAGCAGTGACCTTTGGAGAAAGTATGAAATCCAAAAAAATTTTTTTAGGAACAGGAAGGACCACTGCCTCTGGCTCGCAAGCTCTCCTCGGCCGGCCCAACTCCAGCCGTCCGAAAACTGTCGTCGGTCGGAAACCTTCATAAGTTCAAGGTTTTTGTGTTTTAACCACCACTATCACCTTCAATCTTCCCAGAAATCGGGCCCAAGGGAGGCGAAACCAGGGCAATCCGGTCGCGCCATTGACGCCGTCACGAAGCTGTTCGGTCGGGATAAGCAGCCGAGCACCAACAAGCCTGTGTCGACGGGGAGGAGTGCGCGGATGGAGCCGGTGAGAGGATCTCAGAAATTTGATAAGTATCGTCTAGGCAAAACGGGCTGACGACCTGAAGACGTGCGATTCGAAGGGTAGACGCTCAAAGGAGAAGGCGTCTTCGCTTTCGAGGGGCAGTCAAGCTTCCAGCGTATCTCGAAAGGTATCGAAAAGTGTATTTTTTTGGTACTTTTGTATTATCGGGGGGGGGCAGCGAGTTCATATCAAAAATTTCAGTCGCAACGCTCCGGCCGCGGACATTCAGGCCCTCGCAAGCACTGGCCGACCCCGGATCCGTCGCCTTTTTAAGCTCGTTATCCTCGCACTGTTGTACATCTACTACCCCTCGTATCTTTGTGTACCCCCCTTGGTAGTGTTGGGATGCGAAAGCGTCGGCCTTCCCCTGTGCTATTTCCGGTTAACGAATGTTTTGCTTGTGCTTGCTGGTGATTTGGACGTGATTTGACCTGATTGATAAAGTCGTTTTAATGAATGGAATCGAGGAGTACAACCTACAAAACTGAATGCATTTCCAAGATTATTCAAGAACAAAAATTTACGTTTATTCAGCAACGGCATCCAGGAATTCCTTAACTTGGCACAAATTAAACCAAACATGTTTGGAAATCACGTCGCGGTGTGTGAAGATGAGTGCATGATACTTGTAGTCTGTACACATGATCAATGCGTTGCCGTCTTCACGCTTGATATAATAGTAGGCACTTTGTTCATCCATCAGCCACAGTTTTGGGTAGGGCCGGTGGAAGGCGTGGTCGCAAAAGTCAGCGAGGCGATCGCGGAATGAAAAGTCGTGTAGATGAACATAACGGATTTCACGTATCCCGTCCAGCCATTCCTCGACCAACATACGTGCCCATGTTGCATAGCACGGGTCGGTAATTTGAAAGTTCCTCAGAGTCATCCGCGGCACCTTCAAGCGAATGTATGCCGGAGCTGGCGCGACAAGCTCTGCGTCTAGACCGTCGACATTTTCGTTGAGCAATTCCAGCAATACCTCGTTTGGCGATACCGCGTTCATTTCAACATAATACTTTTTAGCCGATTTGTGAGGCTTGAGCTTAGCGATTATGCCCTCGACTGTCAGGCTGGCGTTGCGCTCCAATTGCAGGTACCTACACCGGATATCCAGCTCCTTAGGGATCGGCCGGTCGAGCTTCAGACACATGACGGTCGAACTATGGAAAAGAAGCTCGAGAGTGTCGAGATTGTGGATTCTAAGAGCCTGAACGCCATCTTCAGACACCGACCAGTTGTTGGCTTCCGGGTCCTCGTGCAGCTCCACGTCCCAACATTTGTCCCTGCAACCTTTGGCTAGCTCCATCATCGCCTTGCTCGTTCTGGCCGTTTTGAAGAAGCTCTGAAGATCCATCTGGCGGAGGATGTTGTGCTGGACGACGGTTGGGTACTGGCAAAATTTGTCCATCACCTGAAATGGAAATTTTCATAGGAAAATCCGAAGTAAAAGAGATGATCTCAGTCAGTCTCAGTCTCAGTAAAAATCAGGACGCCCGAAAAAACAAGAGAGCTAACGATAAAGAAAAATGGAGGCCTGGCAAAACCAACAAAAAATTGCGAAGTCCAAAAATTTTAGATTCGGGAATACGGGTTCAAAAGGGTTCTGTGTGGGGGATTGAAAAAAAGTTATCGCGAAGAAATGGAAGTGGACGTCAAAAATTAAGCGTAGATCTTTGACCTTAAACGAAAATATCAAGCAATGCAGAGCGCGAGCCAAACATAGGACATCTGCTACCGTCGGGCATCTGTCGGGGCTCATCTGCAAACTGCGCATCAATCGTACTAGTTAAAAAAAAATCAATATGTGGTGTTTGTGTCTATTCCATAATGAATTGGAGGTTTCTGTTTAAATGGCTCCAATTCTTGAGCAATAAAAAATCGGGTAATCTAGTCACTGATGTAAAACACAATTCACCAAATATAAAATTACACGTTGATTCGAAATTTGACATCTTCGAACCGGAAAAATTTGCTTTTTAAGGCGAAAGTCTGGATTGACTATATGTCAACAACCCCCGTTAAAGGGATAAGGAAGGCCCAGGTAGATGAGGGCTCATCTAGAATTGGCAGCTAGCCAACTGGGTTGGAGAGGGCGAGAGAGGGCGCCCAGGGGAGGGAGAGAGCGCAAAGACCCCCTTTCCCCCGCGTCACCGGTTTCGGGCTGATCTACGTGGGACCTCCTTATCCCTTTAACGGGATACAGAAGGCCCAGAAAAAATTAGCTTAAAACGGGCTTTAGTTCTAAAATTAGCATAAATTTTTGCGACTCCCGAAAAGACTAAAAAGTTACACTCGACCCTATGTGCTGCACCACTCGGCCGACCTGATGCAACCGTCCAGCTTCCTTTTTTTACTGCTGATGCCGTCAGGGGTGTTGATGGGCGCGGTACGCGATTCTAATCTCATCATCATGAATTTTCTTATAGCATGACGACAACGGATTCATGGACCAGCGTACAGACGTCGATCCTGAGTTTGTTGGATGAAAAAATCCTAATAACTGCTGTTTAGATTCGAAGAGCGCGAAACGGATATCTCGTGCAAGACGAACGAGACAAACCACTACAAATTTTCGTGAGTTTGGCTTTTCGTCGTTTGGATGGTAGGGACGGCTAAAATCTGGCTCCATAGCAGGGGCGGGATTACGATTTTTCGGTAATGGACTGTTTGTGGGGGGGCTTTTGAGCCAGGGAAAGCTCATTTAGATTTTTTAATCTATCCCTCATACGTGTAAATAATATACAACATGCATTTATGGTGTTTCTAGTAGTTTTTGATTTCAAGGAAATTACAAATTAATATATAATTACTATATTAGAAACTTGTGACAAATTTCCAGCCTTTTTTAAGGCATTTCACAACTTTTCCATGAGTTTTCGGTTATTCGAAGGAGTTTAAGCTAAACGCCAAATTCATCGGGTTTATTTCTGGCCTCTTAACAATTATTTTTATACCCTTCAGCGGCTACAAATTCCCGGTGCACATCACGCACTTCTTTGGCGCTTTCCGCTTGCATCGCCGCGACTACCAGCAATGCTTTGATTCATTTCAAGATACAGCCCGTTTACCGGTCGGTATCTTTAGATGCGCCGTCGACGACATCGTATTTAGCACTATTACGATGTGGATGGCCAAAACTGTCTGGTGCTCGACGAGGTGTACGGCTGTCTGGAGTGCCCGGTCCTCTCTCACCCAAAGTACGATATTATACGGTTTTATCGTGCTTCATTATTTCCAAGTAAAAAAAAATGGAGAAAGAGAAAATAGATTTAAGATTCGCACTTTAGGGCGACGCTCGAGGATACGTGCACTCCAGCTGGGGGACTTCTAGTCGGCGACATCGAGCTGGTGCCCGAGAATTACGAGGAGGCAGCACAACTCGCGCTCCCCAAGCCGGCAGACCGTTATTGTCCATTGTAAGAAGGAGATAGAGAGAGAGGCAGAATGAGAGAGAGAACGTGGGTGTGAGAGAGCAAGAGCGAAATTCGGGCCGAGAGATCGAGCGCTAGAGAATGAGAAAAAACGAGAGAGAGACATCGAGAGGGTGAGCACGAGCGTGAACGAGCGTGGGCAAGAATGAGAGAGACCGCGAGAAAGAGCATGTCAGGGAGGGCGAGAGTCGGCAAGAGAGAGATCAAGGGCCACAGAATCAGAAAAAAGGACTTGTGAGAGGGAGTGAGCATGAGAGAGAATGAGCGCTAGAGAGTGAGGCTGAGCGCGAGAAAGAGAGAGTGAGAGTGAGCGAGCCAGCGAGAGAGAGAGAGAGAGAGAGAGAGAGAGAGAGAGAGAGAGAGAGAGAGAGCGAAATTGACTATCAGAGAGCGAGCGCTAGGGAGTGAGCGAGGGAATGAGAGGGAGTGTGAGACAAAGAGAAAAAAGAGAAATCATGATTTAGCGGTCGTCACCGCAAAAACGGTCGGCCAGAATGCCACCATTCCTGCAGAAAGAACTGTCTCCTTTGCCGTAGTACGGTGGTAGGGGCAGTTTTGTGCTGGACTGTTAGCGAGGAGGGGTTAAATTCAGTAGATGCTTTGGATTAAGATTACCTTTAGAAATGCGACCGCTGCGCGCCGGGCTACTCCCCGTCGACGAATCACCAGACTTGCGTCCAGATCAGCAACCAGACCTGCGTATAGTAGGGGTGGTCAAGGTGTAGACGAGCTTTGATTTCTAGCGGTCAATTCCTCCTCAACAATCGATGCTGGTGGTGCGGCGAGATAACGCCGAAATGTGTATTCTGTAACGAGGTCAGAGTTAAAAACGATGACACCACTTTCTTGGTTCAGAAAGGCGTCTGCCAGAAGTGCAACATCGGCTACATGCTCGTCAAAAGGCGGTGGCGACACGTCTGCATGAAGATTTGCCAAAGGTAGTGTCGAGAGTAGCTAATTGGAATTTCTCCATTCAGGGGCACGTACTACGACCAAAAGGAGGACCGCTGCGTGGAGTGCCCGAGTTATTGCCTGGCTTGCAAAGGGTAGGCATTAATGCATCGAAGCGGGTGTGTCTCAGTACGGGCGCTACGCGGCCAAGGCGTGACCGCAACACACCCGGTAAGACAAACTCGAACGCGAGGCCAGCGCAATGAAAGATGAACGCTTCCGCAATGCAACCGCCGAGCAAACAAGACTGAACTGCAGCACGGCCACAATGCAGCCGCGACTCAACCCAGGGATTACATAGCGCATATCGACGAAATTCGCACAAATTCAGAAGTCACGACTTAATTTTTACCATTTCTTAGCTTACGGTTTTGCGTTTTCAGTCCAAAACAATGCGAAAAATGCGTCCCGGGACTGTTCTTGCAGCAGCTTGGGAAGAACTCCTTTGCATGCACGTCCGTTTGCGGGTACGTTTTTTAAACTACATCCATTTTAACCCTCCTTTAGGCGCGGCTACTACGTCGAGTCGATGGGCGGGTCGACGTGTCTGCGTTGCGACAAGGCCTGCACGTCGTGCTGTGGGTGGTATATGATGTGAAAAGTTGTGCTGGTAGTAGCATCGGGTAGCTTATATAAACTTCCATAACTTGCGAGAAACTCCTGCAATCAATTTTAGGGGGTCCAACGGATCGTCACTGCTACGAGTGTCGGCACTATGGGTGGCTGGATCTGAAGGCGAAGCAGGTGAGAAGCCTGAGCCCGGCCTTATCTATTGCGGGAATCATTCCGGGAACCTATTCCGGGAATAATTCCGGGAATCATTCCGGGAATCGGGAAAAACATTCCCGGAATCATTTTCATCTCTATTCCAGGAACCTATTCCGGGAACGGTTACCGCAATAGATTCCGGGAATTAGATGAAAACGATTCCGGGAATATTTTTACCGATTCCCGCAATGCATTCCCGGAATAGTTTTCATCTATTCCGGGAATCTCAGCACATTCCCGGAATTCACACACTTGAAAATTCCTCAAATTTAAAAAATGTAGTTGTTAAAAGCAAAAAAAATCCAGTATTTGTATGAAGAGGTAGCCAATAGCATTCCTGCCGGTAAATAAAGTTTTCAATTTTTTAACTTCGAAAATTCTCCGTAACTTCGCTGGGAACTACCCGATTAATTTGAAACTTGGTATATTAGCTAATGAAGCCCCTTTAAGCTACTGTGAAAATTTCAGGAATTTTGGTGGTGTTTCACCTAGATTCCCGGAATGGTTACCCGACCTTTTGGTCGGGTAGGCCCAGCCTTAACAAAATTATTCCCGGAATTACATTCCGGGAATTTACCTGAAATTCCCGGAATAGATGAAAATCATTCCGGGAATTGATTCCCGGAATGGGTTACCGGAATAGCATTCTGGGAATCTATTCCGGGATTCCCGAATAGATGAAACGCATTCCGGGAATCGATTCCGAATCATTCCTGGAATTAATTCCGAGATTCAGGGAGATTCCGGGAATGATAAGAGGCGTTCCCGGAATATTCCCGGAATAGATAAGGCCGGGCTCTGAAGTATCGGTACTGCGCTGTTAGCGGGGGTGGGGGTTAGCGGGGAGTCAAATTTTTCCTTTGCAAACCTGGCATTTTACGCAGTCTGTGATGTAAAAAACTCCCAAAAATTCTAAAAGCTTCTTGCTCAAAAATTCAAAGAATCGTCGAAAAAATTCCTAGTTTTTTGAATTGGTAAATTTTTTTGAGATTTTTGAAATCGATTGTAAGAAAAAACTTCTAAAAACGCCATAAAAACGTTGCGTTGTATCAACGGCGTAAAATCATTTCCTCCCGCGGGACTCCCCCCCCCCGCTAACACCCAAGCTCCGCAGTATCTGACGAGCAAGCTACGCACCACACCAGCCTCAAGTTCTTTCAGGCGCGCTGCGAGCTGAACATGGCATTTTGGCTCCCAGGGCGGGACGAGGACGGCCGAAGACCCCATAAGGTAATCAATAGCTTTTACCTTTAAAACTTTGGTATCTCCAGGCCAGTGACCGGGACACCATCACCCCACGTGACCAGTGGATGCGCAAGGTCGATATGGGGAAATACAGGGGAACACCCGACGTCTTCTACTCGTTGTTCTTCCGCAACATCACCCAGTGGAAAGAGTATTGGGACGAGTGGGGAGGCTTCAAATTATTAGTGCTTCGGAACGCGTTGCTGAAGATGCACAAGGTCAAGGCCAATTTCAGGAAGGAGAGCAGCGGCCAGTTGTCCATCGTCGACATCTACAAGCCGTTTTGCGCAAGCCCGGACTGCTTGAAAGGGTGCCGGCCGGCCCATGAGGACGAGCTGCTGATATGGCATGTCGGTGGTTCTAGTTTGAAAAGAAGAGAGAGAGAGAGAGAGAGAGAGAGAGAGAGAGAGAGAGAAAGGGAGAGAGCGAGCAAGAGAGAGTGTGTGACAGATAAGGAGAGAGAGACCTCGACGGTCTTTTCAGCCCTGTCCAAGATGCCAAAGAGGCAAGTACAAAGATGTGAACGGGTACTGCGTCTCCGACTGCCCCAAGTGTGTTCCAACTTTTTCTGCAATTTTGAGTTCAGTGGTACCTTCGCGACCGTCGAGACTCGCGTGCCGTCGTGCATACCGTGCTTACATCCGCATCTTTGCGCACAGTGTGAACAGGTGAGCTTGCTCCCTCTCTCTCCGTGTCTCTCTCGCTCGCACTCTCTCTCTCTCTCTCTTTGTCTCTCTCTCTCTCCTAGCTCTCTCGTTCTCTCCTCACACCAAAATTTAGGCCGACACCTTCTCCTCCGGTAGAAGAACGATCGACCTCTACACGCACAGCCGACAGGATGAGCTTAACGGTACTCTGGTTCCCCATTATTAATTGCTACTCTTCAGACCCAACACTCACGCACTTGGTGTGCAAGGAGAAGTACCGCCCGGAGATCCGCTCGCAGTGTATTAAGGGTACGGTACCCTCGATCGATTGGCGCAATTTCCCAAGGAATCCCTGCAAGTTACTTCCTTCAGATTCCAGTTCATCGACGCGGCCGGCTACTGCCGTCTCTGCCACCCGGAATGTGATGGGTGTTACGGGCCGAGCTCGGGCCAGTGCATGAAGTGCCGGCATTTCAAGGATACCTGGGGGGTAGGCCGACATGTTTGTCTGTTTCTTGGCGCTTTTCCATTATCGGGGGAGGGGATTTTTCTATTCGTTCGGAGCGCCTTGCAAAGCAAGACAACGTATTTTAGTGAAATTGACCATGTCTGCAGTGAAAACACTATCTGAAAAGTTGGAAAAATTCGCAAAAATTTGACATTTTTTGTCGAAAACCGGCCGCTTTCGTCGAAACATTTTTGAAAATTGCAGTAAACATCATAAATATAAGCCTGTTTTTAGCGTTGCGTGTCGCATTGTCCGGTCGGTTTTCTGCCCCTGGAACTTCGACGCAACGAGCTGTTCTGCAACTACATGCCGCCTCCGCCTCCAGTGGACCGAGAGGCACGCATCCGGCACCGATTTTTCTTAACTAAATCTCGGCTGCAATTTGAAGGGGCTCTTTCAGCAGCGCCGTTTTTCCATGAATCGTGGAAAAATTTGCATGCATTTCGGGTTAGAGAGCACGCCCTATTGAGAGACGCAGACATCTCGCATGCAAAGTTTTCCACGATTCGTGGAAAAGCGGAGGCGCTGAGAGCGCGCCTTTAAAGGCCATCCTCCCAGGTAGTGACGTTCAACCGACGGTACTACGGCCTCCCGACGAAGAAATCCGAAATCATGCTGCTATGCCACCTGATCTTTTACGTCACGGTGCAGTTCGCCTCGAGCATAGGTAGGGCCGGTTCCTGACCGAGCTTTTCGAACTAGCTTGTACTTCGAGGTAATGGTCTGTTAGCGGGGGGAAGGGCAATTTTTTCCCAATCAGTCACGTTTCCCCATTTTCCAGTGGCCCTGCTCTTCTCCGGCCCCGACAACGCCGCGCTGATCCCGTGGAACAAGGAGGAGTAAGTCCACTGAAGTAAATTTCGCAACTACCGCTTTTTAGCAAAATCCGCGCCGAGATTCGCGCTCAAACCGCCGCGCTCTACGCCGCCAAACTGCGACAGCAGTCACAGGACAGCCTCACCAAGTCTCATGACGGCGTGATGGCGGTTGCACAGAGATTTTGTAGCTTTTTGCGGTTTTTTTCAGACGATCACTCTTTAGCTGCCGAGCGGACTAGCGAACACCGCAATCCATTGATGACGCGCCGGGTGATTGTGCGCAGAAAGGTAGAGAGAGAGAGAGAGAGAGAGAGAGAGAGAGAGAGAAAAGGAGAGAGAGATAGTGACACTGAACGTAATCTCACGATTCCAGCTACGTCTGAAGGCGCGTGTTCCGGTCCCAACCGTCCCGAGACACAATTCCTTGGACCAGACAGGTTATGATTCTACATGGACCTTTTCCCGGATTCTAAAATTCTAAGGAATCCATTCACTTTTTATCCCCATTTTTAGCCGTGAGCACCACCAACGACTCTGCGTCCACCTCAAAAGACCAGCACGCCGTCGGGCTGAAGATACGCCGACGGAAGAAGACGAAGCCAAAGTCGAGGGAAAAGATGTCGCGCGAAAGGCTCTCGAAAGAAGTCCTCAACTCCCAGGCGGCTACCTCGGATACCGTACTCTCGCAGCAGAACCCGATCGTCACCTCCACGCCCGAGCCGTCAAAGAAGAGCATCCGGCAGACCGTTATCTCGCTGAAGGAACATACTTTTGATGATACGCCACCGGTAGGTGTTGGGTTTGGTACTGGAGTATAACTTTTCCTTCCAGTCCTCGCACCGAATCGACGACACGCAGCGTCCGTTGAAGGAGAAGCACTCACCTCAAGCCACCCAAGCACTTCCGTCACTCCTTCCGGGCACCCAGGCCCCTCCGTCAATTCCGGCCACCCACCTACCAGTTCTACCTATCCAACCACAACCCCTGCAGCTGCTCCAACCGATCGTCAGGGTCAAATCGGATGACGCGGCGGCCGAGACGCAGCAAACGGCCCCGAGGCGAGGCCCAACGAACAGTGGACGCGATATGAAGCAACGGGTGGGGTTTCGGATCTGCGTTTTTGGTACTTTAGGATTCGCGGGGGGGGGACCAATTTTTTTCCTGGCGGTCCCGGGTGACCTAGTAACCAAATATCAGTGTTTTGACGTTGTCTTTAGCAAAATTTAAGCCTATTTGAATAAAAACATCTTTTTAAAAAGTTAGAAGAACGCTTGAAAAACTCGCAAATTTTATCATTTTGTTTCAAAAAATTGATTTTTGGACTTAAAATTAAATTTTGTAAAGTTTGTATGCTTAGGGATAGCGATGAACAATTTATAAACACATCCACTATTTATATAAAAAAATCTAGGCTGTGCCGAAAAAATTTTGGCCCCCCCGGGAATACTTTCCCCGCGAATTCATTCGAAAGTAACGGAGGTACCGTCAAAATTTGAGGCTTTGGGAGCCGAACCTAACTAAAAAAAACCCTGTTTTAGAATAACAAATCCCCGGCCGACTCGCTGGCCAAGCGCAGCCCGAAAAGCGCGAAGCAGCGCACGCACGACTCCAAACTGCCAGCCGCCACCCAGGCCGCGAGCAGTCGCGTCAAGGATTCGAGGGTCAGTTTTTGCAAGTCACTTTCCTTTTAAAAACGATGATACTCCGAAATTCCTATAACGTCCGGATCTTTCAGCCATCACTTGATCGTCGCCCGACTACTTGAACGAGGCCACGACACTACTGACCGATTACGCCGCTTTACAAACATCACCCCACGCCCATTTCTGTATTTGTATTGGTATTTGCACTGTCTTCGCTTTTTATGGCTTGTTTTTGAGAGCTCATGTCCAGTTACCGAATTGTCTCCGTTTGAATCGAATTGTGCAGGCAATGTGAATAAATGGCGCTTAACACTGTACGCTTGAAACGGAATCAATGTGATGAAGTGGCTTAGGCTTAGGACGTAACCAGCCTGTCCCGAAAATAGATCGCTGGTTGGTACTGGTGTGTTAGCGGGAGGGGCTATTGAGAAAGATTTTTTGAAACGAGTTTGTCCAGCCTCTAAGCCAGTACCGACTTGTGGAAATTTCGAAAATCGTGGCGCCTAAAAGGCCACTCAAAAGTACGCATTTTTAGAACCGGCTGCTACTTGATTTTATCTGAATGTTTTTTCGCAGATTTTATATGCGTTGACAAAGTATGCCGTTTTGGATGTTTTTCGAGCTAAAAACGCCTTGAAATAGTTTGAAACGTTTACTTGTAAGTGAAGATAGACGTGAAACCACATACATTTCAAGCCGCAACCTATAGTCGGTAAAGGATGATGCCCGCCGGAAAAATTAGGATCTTGGCTTTTTGGCGGACAATTTAAATAATTTGCATACGTTTTTAAAGTCCTACATACCAATTGAAATATCCTACGCCACAGTCGCACCCATGCGAACCAATACTCGGTCGTCCTAATGCTGCTTTTCACCTTCATCGTCCTATTTCTCATGCCGATCGTCCATTCGCGCGATGCGGTAAGTACCTTCAAATTTTGGCCCTTGGTTTTTGAGAACTTTTTACCTAAATTGTGTTTAGTACGACGACGACGGCTTCATGTACTCTCGGCGCGAAATCGATGCAGAGTCGGTTCAAGGAAACTTTTCCTAGCTTTTTATTAGATACGATGGACGCGTCATCGGCCTGTCTTGCCACCCCAACGAAACGGACCACTATAAATTTTCGTGAGTATTTTTCCAGCTCCGACATTTATTCTCAGTGGCTACAAGTTCCCGCATCGCAGCACCGTTTTCCACCGCGTGGTCGATGGGCGAATCGCACGCACCGACCAGCAGGGGTGCATCGACCCGTTTAGATCGAGGGCCATGCCGGTAGGGTTTTCGGTACTGGGCTGTTAGCGGGGGGAAGGAATCCATTATCAGCAACTTTACGGCCCACAGCGAAATATAAATCATGTTTATCTAATTTCAGACGGTTTTTTAGATATAGAAACCCCATTCAAAATCAAGGCAAATTTCAAAATTGACTTTTTGGTCAAAAATATGTGAAAAAATGGTGAATAAAAGGGAAAATTTTTGAATTTATAATTTTTAAATTTTGATATCATTTCATAGCAGTTAAGAATTACCAGAAAAAAAACATAAAAATGCTCTATATTTTACCAAAAGCTCCGATCCACGCCAATTTACAACCAGCTTCAGACAACATTTGCGGCTAAATCGTGTCTGGTGAAGGACGTGGAATACGGATGCATCGAGTGTCCGGTTGGCTTTGAGATTGAGTGGGTATTTGGCAGTCCATTTAACTTTTGAAAAACAAGGCTTTTCAAAGAGAAATTTAGTCAGGTCTACCCAGTATGTAACCCATGGAACGAGACGTTGGCGGTCAACATGGAGCTGGTCGCGAAGGACTACGATGATGCTACCGTGATCGCGTTGCCGTCACCGGAGGATCGTTATTGTGAAGAGTGGGTTTTGAAAAAAAAGTGTCTGTCTTGAACTAAAAATCGCGGAATCGGCCGCTACCCTCGGCTAGTCTTTGGCATGAACCTTCAAGTTTTTAATAGTGTTTTTAGTAATATATAACTACTCACGATATTTAAACTAGAAAACTATCTACAAAACTGTTTTAGAAAAGCGACAAATTTTCATCGTTTGGCCATTTCTAATACATTTTTGACGAAAAAGTCAGGATTTCTCAGATTTATTTTATCGGGTTTCATAGCGACAAACTGTATAGCATACTATAAAAATGACCGTAAGGGATTACTTGGAAAAAATAGGTCTTTCTTCCCCTGCGAAAACTCCGCAGCACCCCCCCCGCTAAGAGTCTAATACCAGGCCAGGGGGAGTGGTCGACCGTCTTCGCCTTCCGTATTCGTTTTATTTCCAGTGGGCTCCGGCGGTCCGACGAAGGGTGCCGCGAAGCGTGCACGCAGGACTGCCGACTTTGCCGCGACTCTTTTGTAAGAATTTTCCAGAAGCTTGTCATAGTCTTTTGCAGCAATGCGACCAATGCGAGCTCGCCCACTTCCCATCCACTAACCACCGTTTTTGTCGTGACTTCAGCGAGCAGATATGTTCAGAGTAGGATTGCGTAGCTTCTGAACACCCTTACCTCATTTTAGCGGCTACTTCATGCTGCAGAATCGATGCTGGGAGTGCGGGGCGATGACGCGGCTTTGTGTACGGTGCGATGAGGTGCTTTTTCACAAATTAAGCCGAAAAAGGGCACGATTTTAAAACGGAAGCAAAGGTATAGGGCCGTATTTTAGAGTGGTGCCTGCTTGGAGTGCACCGCTGGGCACATCCCGGTTCGCAGGCGTTCTCGGGTCATTTGTCTGCAGATTTGTCATAGGTGATTTTCACATTTTTGTAGAAGTTCTTCATGGTAAACCTCACGTATTTCTTTTGAGGAATGCTTGTGCTCCTTGGATTCTCCAGGGAAAAATATCGCTTCAGGGGCACCTACTACGACGCAAAAACGGATCGTTGCGTGGAGTGCCCGAGTTACTGCCTGGAGTGCGATGGGTGGGAGAATAATTTTTCCAAAATTCTGAAGTTTAAAGATGTTTCTAGCCGAATTTCTATGCTCGATTTATCCTGTTTAATAAAATACACCTTTTTTCAGCCCGAAAAAATGCACACGCTGCGCGCCCGGGCTTTTCTGGCAGCGGCTAAGAGGTGGAGGATCCGGGTGCGGCTCCGTTTGCCCGTGAGCATCATTTTTCTTCTCATCTTCGCTTTTCAAGGAATATTACAACTATTAAATTAAAAAATCAATTCCTTTGTAGCCCTGGCTACTACGCGGAGACAATGGGCGCAATGTCGTGTCTGCCTTGCGACAAGACTTGCAGAACGTGCTGTGGGTGCATTTGGTTGTATCGGCTCTTGATTCTCATGCCTTTCCTTTGACAAATACTTTGTAATGTATGCCAAAATACTCTCCTAACCAGGACCAAAATTTTGGTTTACCTGAGAACTTTGAAGCTTAATGAGGAAAGAAGATACAAACGGTTTAATTCGTCCCATCTTTAATTCAATTTTCTAGACGGCCCCACGGATCGACACTGCTACTCGTGCACCCACTACGGATGGCTGGACCTTCGGTGGCGACAGGTCGCTTATTTTTGGTTTGCTTTTAAAGGCGCCTGTTGGCCTCGAATTCCGATTTATTTTTACGTTTCCTTTCGACATACTTTTTTCGACGTAACCCATTTTTTTGATTTTTTTTTTAGTATAAAAAGTTTACAAATTTTGTGATTTAAGTTTAGTCTTTGAGGATTGTTGGGACCCAAAATATCGAAATGTTTGCTTTTCAAACAACTCCCTACTTTTTTTATAAATTTTTCTGTTCTAATAGTAGGTGTAGTTAAAACTTGATAAAATTCTAGAAAATTCAAATAGCACTTTACATTTACTTGCTAGTTTTTTAGTTTAATAGCAGTTTAATAGCGAAAAAATTTGTTCGATTTCCGCACAGCCTCGTCTTTAGGCCCGCTGCGAGCTGAACATGAATCTCTGGCGCCCGCGGGTGCAGGACCGAACACGCCGAAAGCGCCAATTTGGCGATGATGACGACGACTCCGATGATGATGAAGATGACGTCGTCGCGCCACCCGTCGACGACAAACCGTACATCGAAGTTGACGACGTTGGTCAAAACATAAAGGTCAAACTTTGACTTGTTCAGCGCGAATGGGAGGATGTTCCGCATCCGCACGGCGAGGTCAACCGCATCGTCAACGATGAGAATTATTTCCACGCGCCAGGCTTCTTCTACTCTAAGTTTTTCAGAAGTCTCGACGAATGGAAAGTCTACTGGACCGAGTGGGTGTTTACCTTAAAGTATTAGAGATAAGCCAAACAAAAATTTAGAGCTATAGACTTCTCAAATCCTTTTTTTCAGTAAAGAGGAAGATGGCAGGAAGAAGACGAACATCTTCGGACCATTCTGCGTGAGCGAAGATTGTATGGAAAATTGTGAGGCCGAAACGGATTTCGAGGTTTTTCTGCTGCATGTGAGTGACGATTCTGAGGAGTTCAGGCTCAGAAAAGCATTTGGTAAGCGCCGTTTTGGTTCTGTTCTATTTCGGGGGGGGACAAAACTGTGCGGGGAAAATATGCTTCGCGGAATCTTAGTTTTTCGCTATTTTCTCGGAATTTTTGCAACGCCATTCGATAGAGCATCCAAAAATATACTCAGAGTTTTTGTTTTAGCTAAAAATATTATAATATAAAAGTTATAGCAAAAACAAAAAAACTATTGAAACTGGTTCCGGAATGCTAGTTTTCGGCATTTTCGCCATTTTTCGATATTTTGAACCTGTCATTCGATAGAGCATCAAAAAATATACTAAGAGTTTTAATTTCATCTAAAAATATTGTTTTATAAAATAGTTATAGCAAAAACAAGGTTTATTCGGTGTTTCCACATGGGATCGTGGAGTCGAAAGCTAGTTTTCGACATTTTCGATAATTTTCAAAAATTTCTTTAATGCCATTCGATAGAACGTCAAAAAATATACTAAGAGTTTTCATTACAACTCAAATAGCATCATGTAAAAGAGTTATAACAAAACGGAGAAAATTCCCCCCGCACAGTTTTCCCCCGCGAAATAGGACAGAACCGCCGTTTTTAGCCTTGCCCCACCTGCAAACCCGGCGCATACAAGAACGTCAACGGCTACTGCGTCAAAAGCTGTCCAAAGTATGTTTTATTAGGATTTTTGGACGTTAATGACGAAAAAAACAGGGAATTCATGGTTATTTATCGCTCATCATCATCCCATCCTAATGTCGCTTCCCCAGTGAATCTCGTACTCGACTAAACAAAATTTCAGTGGCACCTACGCGACTACGGAAACCAAGCCACCATCGTGTGTCCCGTGTCTACATCCGCATCTTTGCTCTCAATGTGATCGAGTCTTTGGAGCCGACGCGGCTGTCCGATCGACGGCTCCATATACGCATAGTAGAGCTGATGAAGTTGAAGGTTCGTAGGCTCGACCTTAAAATTGTTTATTCTATCTCCATCCTCTCTCTCTCTCTCTCTCTCTCTCTCTCTCTCTCTCTCTCTCTCTCTGTCTCTGTGTCTCTTTGTCTCTCTCTGTCCCACTGTCTCTATGTCTCTCTGTCTCTCTCTCGCTGATGCTGATTTTTCAACTCGTTTCAGACCCGACCCTAAAACGAATGTTTTGCACGGCTCTCCACACGCCCAGCTCACATCCGGAATGCATTGAGGGGTACGGAACTTACAGATAATTTCACAGACGTTATTTGTATTTTAGGATCCAATACACCGACTCTGGCGGGGACTGCCGCCTCTGCCATCCCGAATGTAATGGGTGCTACGGGCCGAGCCCCGACCAGTGCAAGAAGTGTCGACATTTTATGGATACCTGGAAGGTAGCAAAATCAGTATATCTCTCTCTCGCTCGATCGCTCTCCCTCTATCGCTCTCTCTCTCTCTCTCTCTCTCTCTCTCTCTCTCTCGCTCTATCTATCACCCTCTATCTCTCTATCCCCTCTCTCTATCTCTCTCTCTCTCTCTCTCTCTCTCTCTCTCTCTCTCTCTCTCGATTTCTCGATTTTCAGCGCTGCGTCCCCCGATGTCCCGACGGCTTCCGTCCTGTAGAGCTGCGACGCAACGAGTTCTTCTGCAACTTTAGGCCCCCACATGCTCACGTTGAACTTGTGGTACGCTTCCTTTTTCCTGATTATTACTTTTTAATACCCAGAAAGTCACCTTCAACCAGCACTACAGCGGATACCAGAAAAACAAGGCCGACATCCTGCTCCTCTGCCATTTGCTCCTCTACCTGGCGCTCCAATTTTTGGCGAGCATTGGTGGGAAAAGCCTTGTCGTGTCATCAATGCAATAACACTTCAGCCGCGTTGCTCTTTTCCGGCCCCGACAATGCCGCGCTGATCCCGTGGAATAAGGAGCAGTTGGTCTACCACCACGATTTCAAGTGTCCGGATTTTTTAGCGATGCACGTGCCCGAGCCGTGAGAGAAGCAAAAGCACGCTTCCGCGCTAGAAGACGTTCACGCTCAAACGATAATATCAAGAATTCGGGTACCGCGAGCTCACCGGCTGATTCCTATCGTAGGAGTTTCGAAAACAAACTCTCTCTCTCTCTGTTTCTCTCTCTCTCTCTGTCTCTCTGTTTCTCTCTCTCTCTCTCTCTCTCTCTCTCTCTCGTACTACAAAACTCAAAACTCCAGGAAATTTGTATGATGTTTCAGCCGACGAAGTCACGGCTGGCCGGAACCCGATTTTCGTCAGGCGTCGCTTGATCATACGCAAAATTGTCGGTCACCTACCGTATCCAAAGTATTCCGCTTCACTTCTAGCGACGTCCAAAAGCTAAGCCCGCCCTTCCGAGGCTGCCCAGGATGCCGTCGCTTGGCCTAACGTCAGGTAGAAATTTTCCAGCATAGGTATCTCTCACTCCCTCGCTCTCTTTTTTTGTCGCTCTCTACTCCTCTTTTAGCCATCAGTACCACAACCAACTCCGCCACCACCGTGGCCGTGACACAAGATGAAGCTCCACCCGGCACGAAGCCGCGACGCAAGAACAAGTCTAAGGAGTTGACCACCACCAAGGGGAAGCTGTCAAAGAACAACAAGAAGAAGAAGCCGAGAAAGACAGTATCCCAAGCCGCCATCTCCCTGACCGCCACCTCGGCCACTACCGTAATCCCACAACAAAAACCCACACCGCCCGTCCCGGCGGCCACCTCATCCGTGCCGACGTCTGTCAGCATGGAACCGTCAAAGCAGGGCAGCTTGTCGTCGGTGGCTGCGGATAGTGTTTTGGATGATACGCCCATGGTAGGAAATAAATTTTCAAGAAAAGAGCTTAGGTTTCAAATTCGTAGCGATTTCAAAATTCAATTTTCAGTCCTCCCATCTCGATGTAACGCAACGGCCGGCCCAACGCTCACCGCAAGCCACCCAAGCTCTGCCTCCTCAAGCTCCCGCTCCGCTGCCACTTCAAGCACAACCCTCAAACCCCGTCCAACCGATTGTTCGACTTCGATCGGCCACCGCCACGCCTCCTACTGGGCGGCGACGCTCGACAGGTCGCATGTCTACGGAACAGAAGGTGTGTGCGGTTGGAGAGAAAGAGCGAGAGAGAGAGAGAGACAGAGAGAGAGAGATAGAGCGAGAAAGAAGGAGAGAGAGAAAGGGAGAGAGAGCGAGAGACAAACCGACAGTAAGCAGCTCAAGCACCTTTTTAGAAGCAAAAATCTCCACTCGTCTCGCGCGCACCCCGCCAACACCTCAGCCCCAAGCAGGTCACCCAGCAGGAATCGAAGTACACATCAATACATCCCACCGTCAGCACGGATGGCAAGGCATTGAGTGTAGGTTGCCCTCAACTTCGAGCAGGACAGAGTAAACGCGTAGCTGACGCGTTGAGTCAAACTCGGAGGACTTGACGCGACGTGCTCGCTAGGCTTTTACGCAGCAGGAATTATTAGCTTTGTAAAAACGGTATTTTTAGCCCGCTCCCGAAGACCCGAAAAACGCTGTACAGCCGCGACGCAACTCTTGAAGAAATACTGACGGCACTCGGATATGATGCTTTTTATAATACGCCCATTTCCACCTGTCTGTATCTTTATGTTTGGAATCTCATGTTCGGTTTAATGGTATTGTTTGGGATCGAATGAACGTGTGTGAATAAAGGGCGATTAATGCTTGGTTTTGAACGGAGGGCTGCACACGTTGATCATCAACTTGAAGTTGTTCATCTGAATTCCAAGCACTTTCGTCGAAATTTGCATAAATCAGGCCAGAGTCTAGAAAAACGAGTGATTTCCCACTCTTTTTCTATGCTCGCCAGCTCTCGGCTCGTCTAATTCAATGGCACACTCCATCTTTTTCTTCCTACTCCTAATGCCGGCAATTTATGCAAATTACGCGGTAAGGAGTAGTTTAGCGTTTTTTTGTTTTTTTCTGGGATTTTTGTAATTTTCAGTTGGAATTGTAAATTTAGGATGACGCCGACAGTTTTCTGGTGCGGCGCCGCGCCGATGCTGAGTGCGTTGCAAAAAAACGCCATAAGAACCGCCTCTAGGTTCCAAACTCGCGTCACCGATTTTTCGTGTCAGCTGAACGTGACGGACAACTACAAATTTTTGTGGGTCTTGAAAAGGGAAATTGGAAATGGGTGTAAATCGAAAATGAGGACAAGAGAGCGCGGTTCGGCTAGATTTAGCTCTAGAGTCAAGATGTAACTTACCGTAAGCTTGACGTCATTTAGCGGCTTCCCCTTTCCGCTGCACAGCACCGAATTCCATCGGCGCCACGGGGAAGATGCGCCGTCCCTCCGGTACGACTACCAGGAGTGTCACAACTCGTTCAAGGGCATAAGCTACCGACCGGTATGTGTTGCATCTGAATTGGGCTTCTGGTCCTTTTCCAATAACGGGCGGGGCAGAATTCTGTACGCGAGTGCAGAAATGCTTGGTAAAATAGATATAAGTGGTTTCACAATTCTTTTTTTGGGTAAAATTCATTATTTTTGCGGAGAAAACCATTAAAGAACAAAAATTTTTTGAAGTAAAACGGGTAAAAATTTAAAAAAAACAGCTTAGAGATATCTTCTATTTGTATCGGAAAAATTGCCCCTTTCTTTTCGGAAAACGCTAAGTAACCAACATCGTTTTTCCCTGTCATGACGCCACAGCGGCGATAGGAGCGTTACGTTGTCTCTCGCTCTGGCTCTCTCTCGCTCTCTTTCGCTCTCCCTGTCGCTCTCTCTCTCCTGATATCTCCTGCTATCTCTCTATTATTCCGGAACCTTCCAGGTGGCCTTCAACTTTGGCAAGCGGAACTGCGTCGTCTTCGACGCGCAGTATGGATGTCTGGAGTGTCCGCTCGGCTTCAACCTCCTGTGAGTGAAGCACATCACGAAACGTCAAGGGCCATTTAGGCGGACTCTCGACAAAGGATGCTTGCCCTGGACCGACGAGCTGGTGGCGGCCCACATTCCGCTCGTGGCGAGAAGGTACAGGGAGGCGTCGGCACTGGCGTTGGCGCGACCGGAAGATCGCTACTGTCAGGCGTAAGGGTCCTTATTACGTGGACCCGAGAGTCAACTTTTAGTGGCCTCTGGCGTTTTGGCGGATGGCACGGGTGTCTGGCGGCTTGCCCGGCAAATTGTAGACGGTGTCGTGACCGGGAGGTGAGGCTTTGTGAACTCCTTAAAGGCGAGGCACGTATGGTACTGGACTCTTAGCGGGGGATAGCAAGTTGCTTAATTTTTGAGGCGCGTTTCCGACAAGTAACTTTTCATATTTTGAAAGCATCGACTAGGTGGCACCACTTAAGAAGCGTTATTACCAAGTTTTTTAATAGCAAAGATTTTCCCTGCAGAAATGCGACCAATGCGAGAAGGGCTTCTCCCCGTCCACCGACCAACGTCGCTGTCGTGACCTCAGCGAGCAGATTTGTTCACCGTAAATCTAGGAATTAACTTCCAAAAATCCCTAACATTCAGCGGCTACTTCCTGATGCAGAATCGGTGCTGGGACTGCAAGGAGATGACGCGTGCGTGTACTCGATGTGATGAGGTGGGATCCGGAAGCGCTTTAGAAGACGATCCATATTTGGTTACTTCATTTTTGCGGAATTTACCATTTACCCTTTTTACGACATGTTACCAAACGCGCTACTAAAACACCTTTTCCCCGGTCCAAACTATCAAAAAAAACCCCTCGTATTTCCGTCTTTTAGCACGGTCTCTGCCTGGAGTGCGAAACCGGTCATCTCCTGGTGAGACGGCGCTTTCGGGTGGTTTGTATGCAGCTTTGTCAAAGGTAGATTTTTCACTGCAGAAATCCCTCTTCCCTAGAGAATGCGAAATTTTGGTCAAAAATATTCAATTTTTCCTCGGCAAGTCGAGATTTTTGGATTCTGGAAGCGAAATTTGTAAAGTTTTTGCGTTTAGGACTAGGAAACATGTTTTGTTTCCAGGAGCACCTACTACGACGCGAAGCAGGACCGATGCGTTGAGTGCCCAAGCTACTGTGTGGCCTGTAACGGGTTAGGAGTTTAATTCGGCAGGATACTTTCAAATTACAGCCCCAACGACTGCGAGCGATGCGTGGCCGGCCTATTTTGGCATGAGCTGAAGGGTGGCGGCGGGGTGTGCGTGTCCGTTTGCCCGTGCGTGACTCGAATCTCGAAGCCATCAAAGGTTTTTTAGTCCCGGCTACTACGCGGAGACGATGGGCGCGATGACGTGCCTGGCGTGCGCCCCGGAATGTATAACGTGCTGTAAGTTTCAGATGTCACAGGAAGAACGTGAGAGAGCCAGCGGGCGAGTGATAGAGCGAAAGAGAGAGAGAGAGAGAGAGAGAGAGAGAGAGAGACGCGAGACCGAAAGACCAAGAGAGAGAGAGAGCTTGGCATCGAGAGAAAGAATGACAGAGCGAGCGAGAAACGGCGGTTGCGCGAAAGGGAGAGCGAGAGAGCCAGAGAGAGAGAGAGAGAGAGAGAGAGAGAGAGAGAGAGAGAGAGAGAGAGTGAGAGAGTGAGGGGGGGGGGGGGGGGGGGGGGGAGGGGAAAAAAGGACAGCGACCGAGAGAGAATGAAAATGACCTCAACATTATCAGGGGGCCCCACCGATCGGCACTGCTACCAATGCGCCCACTACGGCTGGCTGGAGCTGGCCGCAAGACAGGTCTGTGCTTTTCGACGACCGAATAACCACATTCTCAGGTCCGTTGCGAGCTGAACTATCGATTTCCGATCCCAAAGCCCGGCACACCACAACACGAACGGACGGTTGTCTGCCAATTGAAAAATTATATTCGTTAATTTAGGGATCAACCCCCGCCCCTTATGGCGACGAGCATCTCCAGATCGACGACATGCGCTTCCTGCTACTACCGGAAGGGCCCTACTATTCGAGGTTTTTCAGCGAGATCCGACAGTGGAAAGCCTACTGGGAAATGTAGCGGCTTTAAGGTGCAAAAACAATTGTTTTTGTCAGTGAGATGGAAGAAGGACGGACGACGCTAGAAGAAGCCTACCAGCCCTTCTGCCATAGCCCCGACTGCCTGGATAATTGTCTACCGGAGACCGACTACAGAATGTATCTTGTGCATGTGGGTGCTGGTTGGCTAGATGGGGGTATTTTGGAAACACCGTTTTCAGATATATACATTTGAATAGAATCTTACACTACCAAACACCAGATTTTCCAAAAATTCAAAATCAAAAATACCTTAATTTTTCCGTAGATAGTTAAGGCAACGTAATGGTTTTTTAGATGATACTTTTTGGACAATGCTTGAGGTCCAAAGGCTGTCCAAGTTTTGACATCCTCATAGAGAAGCCAAATTTGGCCGAAATCGATAGTTTATGTATTTTTTTTCGTGTTTAAGCATGGTAAAAATCACTTGAGCAACACGTTTTCTAGTTAACTATCGAAAATTGAATTCAAAGGAAAACGGAAAATCAAGCTCCTCCTCCGGCATCTAGACTCGAAATTCCAGCCCTGCCCAAGGTGCCTACCTAATACCTACAGGAACGTCAACGGCTATTGTGTCAAGACTTGCCCAAAGTAGGCTGCGGGTCTAGTTTAACATTTTTTTTGACACTCTAGTGGAACCTATGCGTCAACTGAGACTCGGCGCCCATCGTGTCTACCCTGCCTACATCCACATCTATGCTCACAATGTGCGCGGGTAGGTCGCTCCCCCCCCCCTCACACACGCTCACTCTCTCTCTCATTCTCTCTCTCTCTCCTCTCTCTCTCTCGCTCTTTCTTGCTCCACTCTCTCTCTTTTGCTGCAAGCCTCATCAGAATTTTTAGCTCTCCGAAAACGAGGACGCAGTTTCTCCGGAAGCACCGTATACACACAGCCGAGCCGAGGAATTGGAAGGTCCACAAATTCCGAAAAGTGCCGAATTTACACCATTTTCAGACCCATCGCTGATGCGGATGGTGTGCACGGAGAAGGCCAACCAATCGAAGGCTGTGATTTGTATGGAAGGGTTGGTATTTACTGCTTCCCTCTCTCTCTCTCTCCTCTCTCTCTCTCTCTCTCTCTCTCTCTCTCTCGCTGAAACTCAATGCATGAATTCAGAATCCAATACATGGACGCCGGCGGAAACTGCCACCTCTGCCATCCGGAATGTGAAGGGTGCTACGGACCGAGTGCGAGCCAGTGCATGAAGTGCCGAAATTTTATGGATACCTGGAAGGTAGGAAAATCAGTAAATGTTTCCCTCTCCTCTCTCTCTCACTCTTGCTTGCTCTCGCTCTGTCTCTGTTCCCCCGTTTCCAGCGCTGCGTTTCGCGATGTCCACCGGGCTTACAACCCGTCGAACTCCGACGCAACGAGTTCTTCTGCCACTTCAGACCCCCGCAAATTCCTTCGAAACTTATGGTAAATACAGTATGATTTTTACCACGGTTTTTATTCAGAAATTGACATTCACCCAGCGCTACAGCGGCATTTCGAAGAACAAGGCCGACATCACGATGCTGGGCCACTTGCTCCTCTACGTGGCACTTCAATTTTTGTCGAGCATAGGTAGGACTTGGCGGCTCACTTCCTCAAATGGTTTCTGCTAGCACCCTCTACGTTCAATCACGCTTTGGGGGTCAAAGGCCGCAAAAACTATGCAACACTGAAGATGATACACACTGATGATTTTCTGGGTCGTTTCAAACTAGAAATACCCCTAAGCCCCCCCCACGCGCTAAAAGTGCAGTACCAGATACCTCGGCACCATTTACAAACGGTCTCTGCTAGCTTGTCACGACCTGCCATTAATGCGCACATTTCCAGCCGCCCTACTCTTCTCCGGCCCGGACAACGCCGAGCTGATCCCGTGGAACAAGGAGCAGTTCGTCAAAATTTACGTTTCTGCAATCTCGATCTTTAGCCAAATCCGCGCCCAAACCGCCCAAACGACCAAAGCCCGTTTTCTGGCCCGAAGACGTGCACGATCCCGCGAGAACCTCAGCAGCGCGTCGAGCATGAAGAGCTCATCAATTGCTGATAAATTTCGTAGGGATTATTGCCGTAAACAGCTACGTTCGGTAATTTCTAGCTGCTGAAGTGACGGCGACGCGCAACCCAATGGCGACCAAGCGGCGTGTGATTATACGCAAAATTGTAGGTTTACGGAAATGGGCTCGATTTTCGTGGTTTTAGCGACGTCCAAGAGGAAAAGCTACCCGAAACGTGGCCAGGAGGCAGCCGTCGTTTGACTTGAGATCAGGTTGGCTTTTTCTCTTCCGCTCTCTCTCCCTCTCTCTCCCCTCTCTCTCTCTCTGCCCCGCTAACCCTTCTCTTTTAGCCGCCAGCTCGACCCAACTCTCGGCCGCCGTCGCCCCTACCCAAGAAGAGGCGCCCCGGACCCAAACATCGTCGAAAAAACAAGTCCAAGGAGCCGACCAAGGGCAAGCTGACAAAAAACATGAAGAGGAGAACGAAGAAGATGTCCCAAGAAGCCGTCTCCCTGGCCGCCACCTCGCTTACCGTAGTCTCCCAGCAGCAACCCGCGCCTCCAGCCTTTTCCACGCCCTCGGCCGTCCCTCCAACCGCCACCCCGGAGCCGTCGAAGAAGGGACGAGGCGACTCGGCGCCCTCGGCGGCGAGGGATAGTATTCTGGACGATACGCCGCTGGTTGGTACAGTTATTTTCGCTGAACTTGTTCAAGGTTCAACCTTTATTCGTCTATTTTCAGTCCTCCCACCTCGACACGACGCAAAGGCCCGGCCGCCGCTCACCGCAAGTCACCCAGGCCCTGCTTCCTCAGCCAGCCGCTCCGGCTCCGCTTCAACCTTCTCGACCTCAATCCCCGCGCCAACTTCCGCCTCTCCCTCGTCTCCCATCTACCGCTGGCGTTGCCGTGACGCAGCCTACGGCGCGACGCGTACGATCTAGCGGCCGTGTGAGCAAGGAGCAGACGGGAAAGGTGGGTGGATTCCAGGTCTTCCCAGATTTTTTGACTCGCACTATAGGTGAGGGACATCAAACTTTCATTTCAGAAAACAAAATCGCCGGCCGCTTCACGGGCCAACCGCCAGCATCTCAGCCCCAAGCAGGTCACCCAGCAGGAGTCGAAGTACTCGCCGGTCGTGCCGTCGGATAGTGGAAGGGGCCGGGATGGAAATGTGAGTTCCGGATGTATCATAGGCCTAAAATGTTTTGATAGACTTCACTGAAAACGAGATTGCAACTGCTATCGCGCAAATTACCTTCCAAAATTCCTTAATTTCAGTCAAACCCCGAGCAGCCGCCGAAGCAGCACTGAGGATCTACCTTCGAGCAAAATTTCAACACAACAATCACCGCCGCCCTCGCCAACTGCCACTTACATTATCACATCCCGATTTGTCTGTGAATTTCCTCTTTGTTCGGAATCTCATGTTCGCGTTAACTGTCTTGTTTTGAACCGAATCGCGTGAGGTGATATGAATAAATGGGTGATGTCAAGGAGGATTTCTGAAGCGCGATGCAGTTAAAAAATAAACAAAAAGGAAGCAGAATCGGCTTGCTTGCTAATTTCTTCTTAATTAATTGTATAGAGTGTTTTTACATTATTTTTCGACAAATTTTAGCCATATTTAGAGCGATAGTCAGACAAACATCGAAGTTTGTAGTACCCTAAATTTGTGCAAAAAAACCAACTCTGAAAAGCGTTGAAAGGTATAAAATGGAATAGTTCGTGTTCTCCTCGAGATTACAAGCCCGAAAAGCGATCATCTACCAAAATCTTGGCCACTTTCGCGCATTTTTCGACCTGAACCCGCCCGACTTTTTGAAGAGTCACGAACCGGTCCCACCTGTGTCATCTCCGCTGTTTTGTTTGATTGCTTTTCTGGGACCACACGGGGCTGAGTCAGCCGTTTCAGGCTGCTCGTCATTTCCCGGACCAAATTTCTTTTCCAAAATTCAGGCGTAAAATCTATCAAAAAATCGTTGATGCGGTATCTGGCCTCCTTGATTTTCTCCTTACCCTTCCTACTTTCATTATCGAGCGCCGAGTGCGGGTGGTTGCCATTCAGCAAGTGTCTGTACATATCGCTACACATTACGAATGCGAGTTATGAAGCTGAACATGAGAGGGTTACGGTAGGCTTAGCTTTTTCTTGTTTCTGTTCTTTTTGTTTTTATCGACGTTTCTGTGTGCCACCTTTTAGCGAGCAATTTAGCTGTCGATATCCCTTTAATACCTTAAGTACTAATTGAAAAACCATCAGCAAAATCAGAATACGAAATGCAAGAATTCCTTAAATTTTACCATCGTTTTCTCTCTCAAAATTTTGTATTTAAAGTGTTACCGTAAGTAGGAAATCTTGAATATTTCATTTTGCTATCGCTTTTCCTTTAAAACAGTTAAATTGGCTTCAGGGAACCCTTAGGAAATCAGAATCCACAGTATCATAGTTTCAACCGATTATTTTAATAAATTTAGGGGGACGAGAAATACCTAGTCCACCTCAAAGAAAAAGACACATTCCACAACGATGGTATCGGCTCGGAAGGGGGGAATATGTACGGTAATCGGCAGATCGTTTATATAGAGCCATTTTTATAGACGGCTCTTCTCTTCTGATAGCCTCGAGTGATGTCTATGAATCGCTATATAACGATTTCTACTTTAAGTTCTATTTGAATGCAAATTATACCATTGGCGTAAGTAGTGTCATTGCGTTTTCTCTTGAAAAATGTGTTTTTTAGGAAAACAAGATGCGATGCCTAAAGTTTGGGCGCCAGTGGGCTTATGGTCCAGCTAAGAAAGGTAGGTAGTATTGAAAGTTATAAAGAGTTACAAAAAAAAAGAAAATTTTTAAGTAGCCTCGGATCGATCGGCTATACTTCAAACTCGGCGCGAATTGTTAAAATTAAAGATACAAATGATACAACGGATTTGGTATTTTTTTAGAGATCACTGGCCAATTCCATGTTTTCCCAAATTCCCCATTTTGCCGCCTTGATTTTTCGTTGGTTGAAGATGGGAAATCAACCACGGGCCATTCCATGGAATGTGATTCGTGTTGCCTCTACGAGCATTGTGGCAGCGATGGAATTCCGAAGACTGATTGATCCTTATTCAGAAGAAATTCTATGTAATAAAATGTGTTTCTACACAATCAGTCGAGACAAATTATTCGAAAAATGGTCTGTGAAAATCTGACATGCACACGGCGAGCAGGATGTTCATGAATTTTCGCGCATTCGAGAAAACGTTTTTACTAAAGAAAGTGACGATTCCAAAATTTTGAGGCGGACAACGTGTACGATTTTTACAATTTATGGTTTTCGGCGCCACCGGCCAGGATTTACGCAAGCATAAACTTCGGGAATGTTCGTTTCCGGGGGCGGGTTTTTATGCAAATGCGGCCCTTTTCGTAAGGTAAAAAATATTTAAAGGCGCAAATGTTTTGGACGCATCATCCACGGATTATGGTGATGCTCGTTCAAATTCTATTCTTCACGCTGGCCACCGTTAATACAGTCGCTGCGGAGAAGAAATATTGCGGGGTTATCGGGGGTTCCGTTCCGTGCTGGCATGTGGACGTCGTGCTGAACGCTTCGTACCCAGATGACCATGAGCCGTACGCGGTAGGTGGTCAACGGGAGTGCAAATCAAAATTAGCATGCTTGAGATCGGATCGAAAAGTAAAAAAACCAGTAAATACTGCCGAAGAGTACCAGAAAAAAACGTTTCGTTGTCAAAAACATAAAATCGTCGATGCGGATTATACTGTTTCAATAAATAACCTAACCTAATAACCTATAATAAATACGGTACTGGAAATCCGCTTTTTATAGCTAAATCACTCGTTTTCATAGCATTTACGCTGTTTTTATGTACAAACGTTTACAAAAATTAAATAGTTTTTAAATTTTTTTGATTTTTTTTGGCTGAAATCAACCGAAAAAATTACCAAGAAGATCAACGTTTTCGGATTTTCAAAATTTTTGTAAATATATTTGTAACTTTCCAGGAATCAAAAACTAATAAAAACATAAGAATACAGAATTTATTATTAACGGGACATCATGAAAAAAAAAACAAAAATTAGTTCGCTTTTTCTTGCAGAAACACCCCGCCCCGCTGTTACCACTCAAGTAACAATTTTTCTTCAGGGTGACGCCTATTATAAGGTGCAGGTCAACAAACGTCATTGGTTGGAGAATAGGCACTACGAGAGCTGCACGGCCAGGATGTACGGTGAGTACAAAGCAGGCGTACGGTATGACTAACGGTAAGAATTTATTTTACCCCCTCCCTCCGCCCCCGCCCCACAGCCGAAGAGTCTCAAAGTTTTCGGTGTTTTCGCTTATTTTGTCCGGAGTTTTGCAAAACCAATCGATAGAGCATCGAAAAACATACTAAAAGTCTTAATTTGAGCCTACAATAATGTAAAATAAAAAAGTTATAGCCAAAACATTCCGGCTGGGGGGTACAGTAAAGGATAGCTTGACTAGTACCTGCGCCTCCCACCCGCGCGCCACCTGGCTCACTATGCCCCCGCCCCAACTGTATAATTAAGCCGTATTACAAAAATCGACTCTTTCCCCTTAAATGTCATTTTTTAGTTCTGTTTTTGATAATTTTCGACTCGGAGGGTCGATTGGCCTATAGAACTCGCCTCAAGAAAAGCAGCGCTTTGACCAAAATCCCGCTTCCCCAGGAGCCCTTGATTTTAGGGACTGCCCCCTGTATAGTGCACGGCACCGACGCCCACGACCCCGCCGACGATCAGTTCTACCTGAAATTCTATCTAAGAGCCAAATATACTCAGGGGGTGCTGTGCTGTGCTCGTTCGAATACCGATCGTTTCAGGCTAACGAATTCCGCTGCGTGCACTTCCATGACCCGATTCATTTTGGCGCTGATCGGAGGGCAAGTGCGTGGTCGAACGCTTTGAATTTTGTAATATTTTTAGAGGGGGGGGAAGGGCACGGATTTTTAAGGCCGTGTTAACAGTTCTTCCGGAATTTCGCGGGATTTTGACCATAGTTTCAACCGTATTTTTATGCTAGAAAACTTTTTATGTCATACTTTTTCGTACAGAAAAGACCTCGCTTGTTCGATTGACGTTTCCAAAATATCTAAAATCTCAAAAAATTGCCTTCCCCTTTCTATTTTGCGCTTGGGCTCAGGCTTGGGCTAAGGCTTAGGCTCAGGCTTAGGTTTAGCTTAGGCTTACGGTTAGCTTCGGCCTAGCCTAGGCTTAGGCTTGGGCTTGGGCTTCGGCTTAGGCTTAGGCTTGGGTTTAGGCTTAGCTTAGGATTAGGCTTACCCTAGGCTTAGGCTTGGTTTAGGCATAGGCTTAGGCTTAGCTTCGGGTTAGGTTTAGGCTTATTAAGCTGCCGCTTAGGTTTACAAGGAGTGCTTTTTTTGAGTCATCGGCAAAGCCTTACGAGAACTTGCTCATTCGATAGAGAATTCAATTCAGATCAAGACTCCGTTGTTCTTTTTGCGGAATGGCTATCCCTATCTGGATTTTATAAAATCTTAAAACTGCACCCAAAAGCCTCTCTTTTTGCTCAAAAGGCACTCATGGTAAGAGATGTTCACTAGTATTTTGATTTTAAAAAATCAGGGATAGCCATTCCGCAAAAAAGACAACGGAGCTAGGTCTCGTAAGGTTTTGCCGATGACTCAATAAAAGCACTCCTTGTTAGGCTTAGGCTAGGCCCCAAAAAACTGATTTATCCCGGTATCATCAGAATCTTTAGCACGTTTTCGGATTTTCAGACATTACCGGCAACTACTACTAGTATCGCTCATTTTAAAACAAATTTTTTCCCCAAGGACCCCCCACCGCTTCGCATTTTCCACACACCATGTCTCTCCACCACACATATGGAAACGCGCTTCGATTATCGTTCTGCGTATGGAAACGTAACCAATAATATTACAAGCCGATGAAAAAGTGGCAGTACCCAAAGTAAAAGGTAAAACCGGTTAAATAAGAGACAGAGAAAGACAGTTACACAGTTCATTTAATAAAAAAAATATTAATTGCTTAGCAAAACGGATAAGAAAATAAAAAATATATTTAGACAACGCTTGAGAAAATGAAGGATTGGTTTTCACGCAAACTTCGATACCGGAATTGACCGAGGTGTTGGGACCGGTTTGAACGTAAGAATGAAGACGTGGCATCCTTTGTGAAATCAAAAACGGAGATTCGGGCATCTGCTCCGACTTTCGAATAGAAAGTGCCCCCGCAAGGGTCTTTTATAGAGCAGCAGTCCAGGCGGATTATGGTAGCGACACAAAGGCAAAAGAGCCAGGCAACGGCGCAGTCAGCAGAGAGAAGAGCCCCAAAAGAAGGCGGAAAAATGGAGTGGGAAGATACCCATACAAGGCCCCCAGGCAGTGCGCAGAGCACAGAGCCCCCAGAACGCCGGAAAAAATGAAGAGGGAAGATGCCAGGGAGTAGTTTTTAGATTACCCATACAAGGCCCCCAGGCAGCGCGTACAACACAGAGCCCCAGAATGCCGGAAAAATGAAGAGGGAAGATGCCAGGAGTAGTTTTTAGGATTACCCATACAAGGCCCCCAGGCAGCGCGCACACCACAGAGCCCCAGAATGCCGGAAAAAATGAAGAGGGAAGATGCCAGGGAGTAGTTTTTAGATTACCCATACAAGGCCCCCAGGCAGCGCGCACAACACAGAGCCCCAGAATGCCGGAAAAATGAAGAGGGAAGATGCCAGGAGTAGTTTTTAGATTACCCATACAAGGCCCCCAGGCAGCGCGCACAACACAGAGCCCCCAGAATGCCGGAAAAAATGAAGAGGGAAGATGCCAGGGAGTAGTTTTTAGATTACCCATACAAGGCCCCCAGGCAGCGCGCACAACACAGAGCCCCCAGAATGCCGGAAAAAATGAAGAGGGAAGATGCCAGGGAGTAGTTTTTAGATTACCCATACAAGACCTCCGGGGAAGGTTACGGTAGCCGGGAATCTTATTTAAGCGCCACCAAAATCTCAGGCCTCCACCTCCCAACATTTTCCCATGCTCGGATTCTCTGTTGTGTCCGCTTCACACGGACCAAGCCTTAAAATCAACTCAAGCTCCCAAACTTTATCATAAAAGAATTTTATATCCGGATTCTGTACTCTGATCGGATATCTTTGCAAAGCTACTAATTTCTCCCCGATAATCTTCGATAAGGCCCAATGGCATCGGTCAGATCCCGGTTAATATCTTCTGCCAAACATGCCGCAAATCGCTACAAAATAGCTACCACATTATCCCAAACGTGAACTCTTATGTTATTCCAAACCCTGTTCCTCTGTAGATTCATCTGCGTTTTCATGTATTTTGTAACGAAAATTTATTGAAGATTTATTTATCTACACTGAATTACGACAATCACAATTCGAAACATTTCAAAATGTTTTTCCACAAAAATCAATGGCAATTTTTAGAAACAGCAGTGATAAAATTAGTGGTAGGATCAAGAAAAAACAAAATTTCACATGGTTTTCGGGTCTTTGCGGTCGGCGTTGAGGTCGGCGCTTCTTCCTTCTGATTGGCCTCGCTTCCAGTGTTTGCTGTTGTGTTGTTGTTGGATCGTGGTGGGTTCGTTGTTTTGAGGTTAGCGACCACTCCTGAGACGTCATTGGCGGGTAGTTGAGAGGTAAATGTGGTCGGGGTTTTTCCGCAGGCACGTTTTTGGTGGCGTGACAGGTTTGAACCCGTCGAGAACGTCTTTAGACAACTCTGACAGCGATGTCGAGAGGTCTGATGTGCCGGATCCGCGTAGAAGTTTTGTTTGGATTTGAACGTCTCAAGAAGTTTGTTGAGGTGGTCTTGGTTGGTGTTCATCCCGGAGAAAACCGCCGCACGAGATGAAGACAAAGGGTAGAATGAACCGGAATCGCAGCAACAGCAGGGAGGAAAGATTTTAGACCATAGAGGTTTTGAGAAAAATGACGAATCTATTGTTAGATTGCCCAATCAACAGGTAAATTCTGACCAAAATGTTTGGCTACGTAGGTTAGCACAAAGGTATCATCGTTGGATATTCGTTGGAAAAATTTATTAAAATCGTAGAATTTGCAGCCCAGACACATTTGATGTATAAACACCAAAACGAAGGCACCGCATGTCTTGCTTCCAAATTTTTGATGTTGATCCCTGTTGTGGACCACTCGATAAAAGGTGTTGTGCAACCACCGCTTTATCTTACCACAGGGGGGATTTCCCAAGGGGTCAAAGTAGTGACCAACCCCGTTTTCTCCAAAAATTGCTACCCAATGGCTACCTGGTTCGGTGGATTCGTCCAAGTTTACTACGAGTCCACCGCAACCCTTGCGCCATATTGGTAACGTATCGGCTGCAAAAACGCCAATGTACTTTTCGCGCGTATGCGAGTTGTTTGAGAGAAGGTGGGCGAGTTGTAGACTGTCCATTTGTTCAAATGGTCAAAGTTTGAGCTTGTCGGGCGTGGTCTAGGGTCATTTTATTCATAAACTCGGCGTGGACGATGCACATTAGGCCCCCGACGGGTGTGGGTGTCCCAAACTCGAGGTCTAGAGTACATTGCCCAGAGATGGCCATGTCGAAATTTTCGACACCGCCATTTGCCTCTGGCAATAATTCAAAAACGTGTACGCATCTACTGTCGGCAAAGTCAGGCATTGAAATGCCATTTGTTCTATTCCCGCTAGCCATGCCGGTGCCCTCCACCATCGCCGTATAGCTCTCGGTGTAACCGGTACCGTTGTCTGGGTTCCAGTCCAAGTTCCAAGCTTTGGTTGGGACTGTATTACCGGCAAACCGAATTTGAATATTTTTTAGGTCATAGTTGTTGAACCTCCACGGGTCTGTTTTCAGGGAACCCGTGAATGCATCGTTTTTCACCAAACCGACAAAAATACGTCGGGGAATCTGATTAGAGTTAAACAACTGCATTTCCGGCATTTTTAGTTGATTTTCGGCCAAATAGAAAGCCTTTGTTTGATAGCTGCGCATCGGATAGCTGGCTTTATGACCGCTGAGCAAGGCCCTCTCAATGGCTGCACTCGTGGACGGGTACAATTGATACTCGGCCACAACAAGGCGAATGTCATGAATTTGTAGTCGCCAATCGGTCTTTCACTCTCATAGGCACGGATTAGGAAACTGTCATTTTGACGATGGAGCGTGATTTGAATGTCGGTGTTGTTCAATATCAACTTGTTTGACGTCGCAAGGTTTAGATCCAATGGACTGTTCACCCGCACCTTTCGCCCTTTCATAAACAAAGCAGAAAGATCTTCGAAACCATCGTTGCTCTTGTGTTCTTTGCCACTCTCCAAAGCGCTATAGCACTGTGCGTGGCCTAGGTTAAAATTTTTGACTCCAGCTTCTGTCATAAATTCAGTGTTGAGGAAGGCCCTGTACGGGTACAAATCTCCAGTATTCTCCACCTGGGTTCCGTTAATATTGACAGTAATCTGCTTCCAAAAAGCTTTTGAAGCCAGTTGAATAGGGGCACACTTGTCTTTTTGTGTAAGAGTCGGGGCAGCAGCGGTGCCGCCTTTGACGTGATGCTCATAACCCTTACCCTCACCATCCACCAAGCTCAACGTCATGGTGATGTAGCTTCGGGCAAGAGAAATGAAATGAGGTTCCTTCATTATACGGAAAGAGATGGGGCCCGTTTGGGAAATTGTACTATTTTCGGGTGCAACGCTGCGATATCTCATCGATTGTACGCCCACGACATGGTGAAGTGGTTCAAACAAGGATAGTTCGTCGGAAAAATGAAATTCTGGGTCTGCCTCAAGCGTTTTCGGGTCTTCCATTGCGCCTGGGGGGTACGGTTGTCAAAATGAAATGGTTTCGCTTTCGGTTGCTTTTTGTACTAGCACCTTCGCCCAAGAGACGAAGAGGGGGAAGAGAAGCAGAGTAAGCAGGGTCGTTTTGACGACCCCTAACCCTCCCCGTCTCCCGGGCCCGTTTTGTTAAGGGCCCGGCCCTACCCCCCTTTTCCACCCCGACCCCTTTAGAAGGGGTCCCCTTTTGGGGTCCTACGTAGGGTAGGGGAAACCCTACTTCCCCCTCGACGTAGGGGAACCCTACGACGGGTGGAAGTAGCCCTCCTTGGGGTCCTACTTTGGGGGTCCCTACTTTTTGGGGTCCTACAAATGTTTGCGGGCCTTTTAGGGGAAGGTACCTTTTGGACGCGACGCGTCCAAAACCCAATTGTTTGCTGGTGTTGGGTGACCAGGAAATGTTGACAGGTAGACGAAAATACTCCATACCACCGTACCCGACGGGTGCAAGTGGCCAAATGAGGTGTTTATTTGGTTAATATACCCTTTTAAAATGAAGTGTGGCCAAGCACGTCCCGTAATTGAAAGTAATTTCGCGGTCATTGTCGTCGGTGACGCGCAAGGAAATCTCTTTGAAGTAACCTTGGCGAACCGGACGGTAGACCGGTGGGTTGAAAGACTTGCTAAATGTTTGACCCCACTCCATGTCAACCGGTATGGTACGTAACAATTCGCGAAAGTCGCCTCCCACCAGCTGTGGTTGCACAACGTTGCAGCAGATGGAAAGGTTGTGGCAATTCGCTTTTAGATCCAATGTGTACTTTGCACTGCGACTATCCTTAAGTGTGCTATACTCGAAACCCAGTATTTGCCACAACAGCTTTGGGAGCAACAGTTTGTCGACCTTTGTCGAATTTATTTCCACCCAAACACGCCGTCTATTTGTGTCGTATTTGAAGGCGGCTCCATGATTTTCAAACGCTTTTTCAAAGAGATGGACCG